CCAGGACTGAGGCTGTAGATCCAGGACTGAGACTGTAGATCCAGGACTGAGGCTGCAGACCCAGGACTCAGGCTGGATCTCGAATGTTTTTTTTTTTTTTTACATTGTTTTCGCAGCAAAACCAAAAAATCAGAAACACCCTAAATACAGAATAACAATAGCAACAGTGTCTTAGTACCACAATTACAGAGTGTGATGTCATCTTTATGAGCTGGTCTGATTTAAGATCCTTCATTTGTCTTCTGGGTCCAGTCCTCGGTCCTCGTCCTGCAGGAAGTGTGTCTCAGACCTGTGTGTATTTAACTGGGCCATGAAATAAAGCAGGAGCTAAATGTTCACAGCTGTAAAACACCTCATCACACTGGGAGGCACGTAGCACATGGTCCGACACGATCCTCAGCCACCTGGACAGGTTTTTAGCTCTATCCACTCTTGGATTAGGGACTGTTGATACAAACATGTCCCTCGGACCCTTCTGTCTAAATGCTCTGGAATTAGTTTCTTTAGGTTTAACGGGTTCGATGATAAATGGGGGGGAAAACAAGCTAAATATCAGAGAGTCCCGGGCTGTAGATCCAGAACTGAGGCTGTAGATCCAGGACTGAGGCTGTAGATCCAGGACTGAGGCTGTAGATCCAGGACTGAGGCTGTAGATCCAGGACTGAGGCTGTAGATCCAGGACTGAGGCTGTAGATCCAGGACTGAGGCTGTAGACCCAGGACTGAGGCTGTAGATCCCAGACTGAGGCTGTAGATCCAGGACTGAGGCTGTAGATCCAAGACTGAGGCTGTAGACCCAGGACTGAGGCTGTAGATCCAGGACTGAGGCTGTAGATCCAGGACTGAGGCTGTAGATCCAGGACTGAGGCTGTAGATCCAGGACTGAGGCTGTAGATCCAGGACTGAGGCTGTAGATCCAGGACTGAGGCTGTAGATCCAGGACTGAGGCTGTAGACCCAGGACTGAGGCTGTAGATCCCAGACTGAGACTGTAGATCCAAGACTGAGGCTGTAGATCCAGGACTGATGCTGTAGACCCAGAACTGAAGCTGTAGAACCAGGACTGAGACTGTAGACCCAGGACTGAGACTGTAGACCCAGGACTTAGACTGTAGACCCAGGACTTAGACTGTGAGGTGGTGGTTGTAAAAACAGTAAAGGAGCAGATTTAGGGCTGTGAGTGAGAGTTATGACGGCTGTAAACACGGTACTTTTTACTCCGCAGCTGTAAAACGCATCGGCCTTGTCCCACTGCTTCACTGTCGTCGTAAATAAAACTCAAAATGACGGATAAAAACGAGTCCCTAATCCTGCTTTAACACACTCCCCGTCCAATGTACCTCCAGTTATTTATGTGGGACGTTGTTCCAGTTTTTTCACTCTCACATCATTGTTCTCGGACCCTCAGACTGTGACGTCACGGACTGAGCTTTTAAAACCTCAAAGTTAGTTTTGGAAAAGTCCCCAGACAAATGTGGTTCTGTCCAACTGTTTTACTGGACTCTGTATTACCGAGAAATGCTCTAAAACATGGAAAACCAAAGTCAATTTTCTCAACAAATTAACTCAAATGATGTGTTCTTGACTCCAGGAGCAGTTGATTTGACGGCTTTAAGTTTTTGTCTTTAGAACTTCTTTTTTGTTTCTCTTTTTGTAGTTTTTTTTACAATCATTCTTATATATTTATTCATCCCTATTAAGGACACAACACAATAAGGTCCATAGTTAAAAGAAAATATCCAAAAAATACAGTATATTGAAATTAGAATGGCCGTTTCTGTTTGAAATATAAGTAGTTCTCACCGCAAAACCTTCCCCACCGACATCTGCTGTTGCTGTGTCCTTGGGCAAGACACTTTACTCCACTTTGCCTGTTAGGAGCGCGGAAGTAACAGTACGCTGCATGCCTTTGTGTGTATTTATCGGATAGAATTTCTCCATTTCGAGATCAATAAAGTATGTCTACTTCTTCTAACTCCCAGAGCCGTCTTTTTGACTGCTCCATACATTTAAACATAATATCAGTCGCTTGGAAACCCGGTACAGTTCCTGGACTGGTTCTGGTTCAGCTTGGTTTTCCACAAGAACAGACCCAGTGCTAGCTACCATAGTGACGCACTGTTTACATGCAGCAGGAGTCCTGGTGTTACAGCTAATTACTGTATGTCCCCAAACTGTTGACCATAGAGCATATACAGTACTAGGAGTGGACTGAGTGTGGCGTCATCAATTTCCTTATGGGCGTTCATTTCGACTATGTTTAAGCCAAGCCCCGGCGATCCAAGATGGCGCCGTATTCAAATGAATGGTTTGTGCTCAGTGGCGCATTGTGCCAGCATGGGCGCCTAAAGATTAGTGGAACTTGCCTGGAACTCCCAAAGATCCATGGGAACTCGCCTGTATTTGGGCATAGTCTGGTCCTCCCAGTTCTGCGCAGTGGAGGATCTCCCATGATGCGTTTCGCCAAATACGCGTGTGTGGCTCTCATGCACGTGCCCAGAGGGGCTCGGCTGCGCTCTGACCAATCAGAACTGCCCATCAGAGCGCTAGTTAGTGCGGGAGCCAGACGGGCAGAGTTTGTGGCAGTAAAGTGTAGATTTAAAGAAAAACTGAAGGATTTAAGAAGAAAAAAAGTTCAGGATCACAAGGGACACTAAAATCCCCACAAAATCCGACCTTTATGAAAGGTGAATTGAGTTCAATGGGGAAAATTTCTGGGTAGCCGCACGTAAATTTTGTCTGGTTTAGTCTGCAGTACCGCAAGAATCCTCCGAGCACGTGGGTTCTTCAGCTACAAGCTAGTAATACCCTATCCTGTTATAATAATAGATCCATGGTTTAAGCGAGCTGGAGTTTCCCCCGCAAATGAAGGCATCTGATTGGTCAATCAATCTATGGCTCATGTCTGGATCTACAAAGACAACATCACAAAATAAACACCAGGATCAGAGAGAGCGCTAAACCACAGACTTTTAAGCCCAAAATTGGGATTTTGACTTCATATTGGGCTTCAACGAGCTAGCAGGTTAGCATTGAACAAGTGGGTTAGCATTGTCCATCCGTATACAATCAATGCTGCTGACACTAGTTATTTACATTGAAGACATGTGTGTATAGCTATCAGAGGAGAGGTCAGAGATTATGAGACACAATGCAAAAGTATTCATACATCTTGAACTCCCACTCATTTTGTCATTTTTTGACCCCAAACATCCATATTTTAGTGTTAATATTTTTCTGAAAGACCATAAGAAAGTAACGGACTGTGACGTGAAAGAGACATGATTTTGTTCATTAAAAATAACCTGAAACTTAAAAGTGTGCTTTGTAAAAGTTTTCATAAACACAGGTTCCTACTGTGTGGAATCCCCAACTTTGTCCTGTACTCACCATTTGCAGATACCAAACATATGACATTGTTGATTATTATGAAAGTGGCTCATTGATTGGAGCAGCTCCAGACAACATCAAATACCAGAAGCGTTGGGAATTACCCGTCAGAATAGGGTATTGTTAATGGAGGAAACCTGGTAATTTTCCATTTTCTTTTTTCCCTGGAGTTTGCATATAAGTCTGGAAATGCCTGAAACCAGCACACGGCTCCATGTACCACACCTCACTCTATATATGTGCTGCATGTGTACACTTTCTCCTTTCATTGTTTAAAAATGCGTTCCCCCGACTCTAACCTTGTCACTGTGGCGTGCCTGGCAGCAGAGAAGGCCCCTCGCTGCCCACAGTCGCCCCATCTGGAAGCACTCAAATAGAAATGTGATTATTTTCAAAGCTGGAGCTAGAGGCGATAAAAGACCCGTGGCTCATCCCCAAAACAGAGCTCCTTTTGGGCTTGTCACCGAGCTGTGGAGGGGTGTGGAATTAGCAGAAATATACACAGTTATTAGGAAAAATCAATTCTAACTCATGACCATGTTACAACAATGTTTTCTCAGAGGGCCTCAAGGTAAAGTAGAGGGAAGAGAGAGGAGCTGGAGAGGGTCTGAAGGTAAAGGAGACAGTAGTGAGAGAGGAAGAGGAGAGGGTCTGAAGGTTAAGGAGACAGTAGTTAGAGGGTGTTTCAGTTGGTACTTCCGTCCTGATGGTTGTTAGTTAAATCCTAAAGGCTCTCTCGACTTTCTGTCAAGACAGACGCATCACGGATATATCTGTTTTCTGAGTTTCAGTGTTTCTTACAAATGAGTTTGCGGTGAAAGACTAACGGCTTATTAGCCGAGGGCGAGGTCTGTATGGAGAAATATCAGACCGCGGCCTTAATGTACAGACCGAGCCGTGGCGAGGTCTGTGCAAAAAGGCCAAGCTCTGATATTTCTCCATACAGACCGAGCAAGCGAGGTTATTATATGACTATTTTTAATTTATGAAAATATCGATCTCTGACTTGTTTTTCCTAATTGTGTTTTTAGCTTTCTGGTCTGCAACGAAGTTGTCAATCTCATCTTGTCTGTTAGTTATTTTTTCTTCGTTATTTTCTGTAATTTCTTCCTCTGGCTCGTCAAACTCCTCCGGATAATAGAATTCACTGGAGAATGCTCCCAGTTGACGCCCATTATTTATTTTTTACCGAGGAAACTCAGGAAATATATCAATTGTGATACACGCTGCGGACTGATTGTCATGGTAACGGTCCGAGGAAAGATATCAATTGTGATACGCGCTGCAGACTGATTGTCATGGTAACGGTCCGAGGAAAGATATCAAATGTGATACGCACTGTTCGGACTAATTGTCATGGTAACGGTCTGAAATGGGAAAATATCAGACCGGTAATCAGCCAATCAGAGCGCGCGTACGATCCAAGTCATATAATAAAAAAACATACCATCCCTCTACTCATTGACCACACGGTTGTCTCTGCTGGTTCTACAGGCCCAGGACTGCAGTACATGGCTGTGGTCCCACCCATGTGTAGGAGAAGAGCCAGAGAAGCCACCTAGAGACCCGAGGAGTCTGGCCGTGAGGATCCCAAGCTGACGTGAGTGAGCGCATGTCCTGTGGTCAGGGCCGGGGTCAGGGCCGGGGTCAGGGCCGGGGTCAGGGCCGGGGTCAGGACCAGGATCAGTCTCCAGCTGCACCAGCTCTATTCTGGATGACATTTGGCACAGTCATAGATCAATGCCCTGGAGGATTTTTTTTACCAAACTCCAGGCTGCCACTAGCTCTGATCTGTCCTAAGATCTCAGTATGACATGTATTAAGCCCTGTTTCCACTAGCCCTACTCTACTCTACTTGACCTGTGTTTCCAGTTCTCTTGGTGTTCTCTTCATCGAGAGCTCTCAATGAAGATTCTTCAAGGTTGAAAATTTTTCACTCTTCTGCTAAGTTTCCTGGCTGACTGTCCTTCCAGTCATACCATGCATCTGCCTCGCCACCATCAGAATCTTCTCTCTTACAGCAGGACGTAGAAAGCACTGCTCTTGAAGGTTTGGTAGGGCCTGGAGTAAGAGAAACGATACAATACGTCACGTATATTAGTCACGTTTCTACCACAAGAACTTCGGGGTAATTTTCCAGGGCCAGCCCCGTCGGTGCGTGTGTATCAACAGGGCCACTTTCAGGAACTTATACAGGAACCAACAGAGTACCTCCTCCATGCTAGGTACCTCCTTCATGCTAGGTACCTCCTCCATGCTAGGTACCTCCTCCATGCTAAAAGCAAAGGAAGGTTTCTCACCCATCATCTGTACTTCTTGGTAGGTTTTCCCGACGTTTCGTCCTCAATCCAAAGGACTTCTTCAGGGAATGAATTCTCAGACCGCGCGTTGGAGATTTATAACCTATGGGTGTGGTTAACCACACCCCAATCCTGATACTAACTCATAAACAATCTAAGGTCTGTTTGATGCTTGGTACCTCCTCCATGCTAGGTACCTCCTCCATGCTTGGTACCTCCTCCATGCTAGGTACCTCCTCCATGCTAGGTACCTCCTCCATGCTAGGTACCTCCTCCATGCTAGGTACCTCCTCCATGCTAGGTACCTCCTCCATGCTAGGTACTCCGTTGGCCCTGAACAGCTCCTGGGACTTGAGGTTAACCCGGCGCTGGTTGGCTAATGCTAGAGCAGGCTCCTGGGAGTACTGCTGGTACGCCTGGTCCACAGTGGGGCGTACTACCCTCACAAACAGCAACAGCCGGCACCCCCCTACTCCGAGCCGCTTCCTCTGGCTCAGCAGCAGTACTTAGGCAACGAGATGCCAGTGCTGCCACCGCATTTCCCACAGCTGCCCGTGCAAAAGGGCAAAGAGAGGCCCCTCCCCCAGAGCAAAGGTCGGACACCCATTCTACATTCTCCAAGGACAGAGCCAGAGATTCACTAAACTGTTTTTTCTACAGGTCCAACCTTACCATTCAACCACCGAGGAGCTAAAGGGCCACCCCCCATGGGAGAAGGGATTCGCGAAGGGCCGCCAGGAATTTGTCAATAGGTCTGTGACATGCTAATGAGTTAGGGTCGTTAGCCTCAGCAGGATCGTTGGACCTGCTCCCTTCTACATCAAACAGACCTTAGATTGTTTATGAGTTTGTATCAGGATTAGGGTGTGGCTTACCACACCCATAGGTTATAAATCTCCAGCGCGGTCTGAGAATTCATTCCCTGAAAAAGTCCTTTGGATTGAGGACGAAACGTCGGGAAAACCTGCTAAGAAGTACAGATGATGGGTGAGAAACCTTCCTTTGCTTTGACTAATCCCTGTACGACTGAGAGTTTACACAAACCTCCTCCATGCTTGGTACCTCCTCCATGCTAGGTACCTCCTCCATGCTAGGTACCTCCTCCATGCTAGGTACCTCCTCCATGCTTGGCACCTCCTCCATGCTAGGTACTCCGTTGGCCCTGAACAGCTCCTGGGACTTGAGGTTAACCCGGCGCTGATTGGCTAATGCTAGAGCAGGCTCTGACGCCATCAGAAAGCACCAAAAAAACCTAGCTGTATTAGCCTAGCAGTATTAGCTTAGCAGTATTAGCTTAGCAGACACCACTGGAAACAACATACAACAACAGCTAGATGTGTGATAAATGAAGGATTATGAGGTGAAGACAATTGCCTTCTACAGCACCGTAGAAATACAGCTGAACGAGGACTACAGCCGACAGAGGACTAGCATCAAATGTATCTCTGTTGAATCTGATGCCAACTGTGTTTGCAGAAGATGAGAGCAGCAGCACCCTCTGTATGCCTCCTGGGAGTACTGCTGGTACGCCTGGTCCACAGTGGGGCGTACTACCCTCACAAACAGCAACAGCCGGCACCCCCCTACTCCGAGCCGCTTCCTCTGGCTCAGCAGCAGTACTTAGGCAACGAGATGCCAGTGCTGCCACCGCATTTCCCACAGCTGCCCGTGCAAAAGGGCAAAGAGAGGCCCCTCCCCCAGAGCAAAGGTCGGACACCCATTCTACATTCTCCAAAGACAGAGCCAGAGATTCACTAAAACTGTTTTTTCTACAGGTCCAACCTTACCATTCAACCCCCGAGGAGCTAAAGGGCCACCCCCCATGGGAGAAGGGATTCGCGAAGGGCCGCCAGGAATTCCAGGCCCCCAAGGGCCCCCTGGCCCTCAGGGCCCACCAGGTGCACCAGGACAAGGGTTGCCAGGCTTGCCAGGAGCCCCTGGATCTCCTGGCCTACAGGGATATCCTGGGGTGGGGAAACCTGGGATGCCTGGTTTCCCCGGCAAACCAGGGACATCTGGATTCCCTGGACCTAAGGGTGAACTTGGCCCCAGTGGTGACCAGGGGCCCACTGGGCCTCCTGGGCCCCCGGGACTGCCTGGCCCATCTGGCCTGCCAGGGCTCTCCAAACCTGGGGGGCAGGGCTTCCCTGGCCAGTCTGGTCCCCTTGGGGAACCAGGGCAGAAGGGGCTTCCAGGACAACCTGGTGCTCCTGGCCTAAAAGGAGAGCGAGGCCTGGGATTACCAGGTTTGCCAGGCCTAAGGGGTCCAGGTGGACCCCCAGGGGCCCCTGGTCAGGCAGGGCCCCCCGGCATTGGTAAACCAGGTCTAAATGGTTTTCCCGGACAACCAGGTACCCCTGGAAAGCCAGGAGCTCCAGGGGAACCAGGAGAGGCCGGACTTCCAGGGGACAGAGGCCAGCCTGGACCTCCAGGAGTACCAGGGTTGGGGAAGCAAGGCACAGATGGCCTCAGGGGCCCACATGGGGCCTTGGGAGCCAAGGGGGAGTCTGGTCACCAAGGCCTACCAGGTCCTCCTGGTGTACCAGGATACAGCAAGCCAGGTTTCCCAGGGCCCAAGGGACATAAGGGATATGACGGCCTTCCAGGAGTTCAAGGGGCCAAAGGAGACAAAGGCCAGGCTGGTGCTCCAGGCATGATTGGCTCTCCAGGAGTCAGTGGAGCCACAGGTCTTCCAGGACCGATGGGACCCTCTGGGTCTGCAGGCTTCACCGGGCTGAAGGGAGAGTCTGGTTCTGTGGGTCCAAAGGGCAGTGCAGGACAGAAGGGAGGGCTGGGGCCCCCAGGGGCCCCCGGACCATCAGGGCGCAGCGGAGAAGGAGGAGAGCCAGGAGCAAGAGGCTTGCCAGGACCCACAGGGCCTAAAGGTGATGCTGGCTTCAGGGGCAGCCCTGGAGCCCCTGGTACTGCTGGATTACCTGGAGCTCGAGGGGAGGATGGGAGGCCTGGAGACGCTGGGCGCCAAGGATCACAGGGAATCCCCGGCCTGCAGGGACCGGGCGGACCCATTGGCCCTCCTGGTCTGCAGGGGCAGAAAGGTGAGAGGGGCCCCTCTGGCCAGCCTGGTTATCCTGGAGAGGGGAAGTTAGGCCCTTCTGGGCCTATGGGTCCACAGGGGAAATCTGGCCAGAGTGGACCCCCGGGGCTCCCTGGACTCCCAGGACAACCAGGCCCACCAGGGCCTCCAGGGCTTTCGTCTCCTGACTTAGGCCAAGTTCTTCCGGCCACAGGCCCCTACAGTGGTGAACAGATGTACAAGCCTGGTCCTGGTGGTGATCTGGGGGGCCTGGAGATGCCTGCCTTCACGGCTAAGCTCACCAACCCATTCCCCATGGTGGGTGTACCAGTGGTCTTTGACAAACTGCTTTACAACAGTAACCAGGACTACAGCCCCCAGAGCGGAATCTTCACCTGCACTGTCCCAGGACTCTACTACTTCTCCTACCACGTCCACTGCAAAGGGGCCAACGTGTGGATAGCCCTGATGAAGAACCACGAGCCTGTTATGTACACGTATGATGAGTGCAGTAAGGGTCTGCTGGACCAGGCCTCAGGGAGCTCAGTGCTGCCCCTGAGGCCTGGGGACACAGTGCACATGGAGCTGCCCTCGGAGCAGGCCGCAGGACTGTACGCGGGACAGTACGTCCACTCCACCTTCTCTGGACACCTGCTCTACTCCATGTGAGGAGCTTCACAAAGTGCACTTGTAGCCTCCACTATACATATACATACATATCCTACAGCTCTGAAGAACATCAAGGACCAGTGCTTTGGTTGGACACGACAGATGTGTCCGAATGTCCAAGATATTCCCTCCTCAGGGGACAGTACAGGGTCACACCATTAAAGCGTGTCCACATGTCCAAAAGGAGAAACAGCACAGCAGACGACTTCTCCCACATTGTATCCAGTTCTGACTGAAGGAAAGCAGAGAGACGCTGTTTTACCACACTCTCGACCTGAAATTAAGAATACGAACAAAACTGTTATCTGTAGAGACACTAGCGTTAGTGTTTAGTGCTTCAATCAACTCCTTCTTGAGGCCAAGGTAAGTCCAAAAGCCCTGGGGTCAGGAAGAACAAGACCTTAAAACAACAGCACGTTTAGCTTTCTTAACATATTGAGGAAATGCTGACAATCCACCACATTTTGACCAAGAGATTGATTGTGGCTAAAAGTCTCAGGATTGATAGTAGTCCATCAACAGAACAGGTTTGCACTGATAATGAGTTTGGGACTATGGAGTCAGGGGTCAGGGGTCATAGGGTTTAGGAATATGGCGGACATTCGGACATGTATGTTTTTACTGTTGCACTACTTAGTGAGGGCTGACATTATCTTTATTGTTTACAAGTATTTGTCATTGTCTTGTATTATTTATTTTTGACTACTGAAACGTAAGTGTTTTATTTGCTTCCAAACAGAGGTTCCATAATCATAATCAAACAACATGTGTAGGAAAAAATAAAGTTTTTAAATATGATTGTCCCATTTTTTCATAATTTATTGTTCCAATTTAAATTACCCAGACAGACGACAAAAGCCAGCTGTTTCTGAAATATGTACATTTGTTCTGGTGGTAAAATCAATAAAGACTTTGTAGCAACTATGATTGTTTGTGAGTTTTAGCTTGTCCACAAGAAGGCGAAGTGGAACAAATGAAGCTCTGAACCGTGGGTCGAGCAGGCTTTGATCGCTCACTGATTCCTGGGCTTTTATTTTTTGTAAAATATATTTATTAAATTGCAATATGTTAAAAATTGTCCCAAAAAATAAAACAAAAACAACATACATTCAGTGAGTCCCAACAGCAAATATTCTGAGACATCATAACAGGAAAGAAAAAAAGAAATGAAAGAAACCTTGAAATCAATTTGAAATGTCATGAGAGATGTAAATGTATTCTGCCATTTTATTTTTTTGTGTAAGTTGTTTTTACCCATAATTATGATGAACTGGGAGGAGTTGGATAGAACTGTAGAGGGTGCAGGAGAAGGGGAAGGACTTGGAGGGGAACAACCATAGACTGTAAGGAACAACACCATGAATCTATTATAAAGGACAACACACTGTTCTGAAAGCGCTGTACATACTGCATAAACTGGCAAAACGCACAAGCAGAAGAACATCACTGAGCGGACACGTCACTTCCGCTTCAGCAGTAATGGCGGCCTCCTGTTAGCGCAGCTGCTAATGCTAATGCTAACGCTACTTCCATCCTCTCCGCTGTCCATCCTCTCAACACAACCTCACACCGGGTAAGAGCGCCCTGTTGACCGTATACTCTTAATGCTTCAGCCTCTGTTTGTCCTGGTCCTGGAGAGCGAGGCTTCAGTCGTACACACCCCGGGACTCATGGAACTCACACCGGCTGTTCCATATGCAGTATGCCCGGGACTCACGGAGCTCCATAAACGTTACTATTATAATATCTAACGTGATTCAAAAATGATAATAAATCCTAACGTTACTTCAAGTGATGACATCTGGAAGAACACATTCATAATTTACATTTTGCTATGAGCTAAAAGCATAACACAGATCTCTCAAATGCAATGGCAATTCTGCTTTTTCCTGCTTTACATTTTGCTTTACACAATATATCTGTTTACACAATATATGTCAGTTAAAGGTAAATAGGAAGGTTGTCTACTTCCGGGTGGAACATCACGACTATTTGTCCTAATTGTCAATCATTCTGGTGATATGATTGACCAGAGATTTGTTCAAAAAGAGGAGAGGGCTGTTCTTTCCTAACATTTGGGAAAAATCGTATTAAGTTAAACTTTGTCGTCCCGTAAGGAAATGTGTCCTCTGAATTTGACCCATCCTTCAAAGCCACTAGGGCCTCTGTTAGGGGCCACCTAACACCAATTGTAATGTTCTTAGTATGGGAACTGGAGCGCCTGGAGGAAAGGGCATTAGGAGAACATGCAAACTCAACTCAGAAAGACCCGGTTCTGATCAAGGTTGGAATTCAGGACCTTCTTTCTGAGAAGCGAGAGTGAAGGTTATGGCGGCACAATGTTGGAAATTAGAGCAATATTTGATGAGTGTTTAGTATTTCGATAACAATATATTATAGCGATATTTTTGTCTTTCACCTAAAATTGCCATCTAGACAAATAACAAAAATAAGCACAACATTAATGACATTCAAATGCATATATTTATATACTTGTTTGTATGTTGATGTGTCTGTTTTGTTATTAGAAAAATAAAAATAAAAAAAGAATAATTATTGCGCATCTTTTCAATATGGATATCTCGTGTACCAATACTGCGATAACTTTATTTTTTTCAATATCGTGCAGCCCTAGTGCTAATCGCTCAGCCACTTTTATAATTAGTTAGAAAAATAATTTAACTAATAGTTAAAGCCAGTTTTCCTTAGATCCTCCTGAATCAATGATAAACCCAGAAGGTAAAACTGTCATAATGTTTAACTCCAGTGTTGTTGGCTCAGATCGCAGGATGGCGTCACGTGCCGGGCCCAGAGCCTCAGGGACAGACGGCAGTGACTTTGAGCACAGAGAGCGTGTGGCCCGTCACTATCAGATGAGGTCAGTCTCTACATGTTTTTACTTCAGATGAACCAGGGGCTGAAGGAAAACAATGGGCCTCATTCACAAATTACTTCGTAAGAAACTTCTCAAATTTCTTCTCAAGTGGTCCTTAAGTAGATTTCTAAGAAGTCCCTACGTGGGATTCATCAACGCACTCGTAAGCCGCTGAATTGTTCGCAGCTGTTCTCTCAGATTGATGAATCCCATTTCCTCGTAAGTAGAGCGTGCATGCCAGGTGCCTCATTAGCATAGGTACTTAGCATAAGTAACCGCCCATTAATGCCCATAAAAGGGACTTCAACAGGCCTAAAGCAAAGAGTTACACGGAGCAAAAGTCACCCTTTTTTCTTATTTTGCCAGACTGAGAATAAAGTTATAAAATGTTGACTTAAAAGTCTAAATATTATGAGAATAAAGTTGAACTAGCAAAATTATGAGATTAATCTAAGAATATGATGATTAATCTCAAAATGTTATGAGCTTAATTTAAAAATATATTATGTATTATTTTAAAGATGAATCTGAAAATGTTTTGAGATTAATCTCAAAATATTTTGGACCCTGGGAGGAGATCCAGCGCGGACCAGCGCTGAGACCAATGCAGACCCGAGGAGAGACTGGAGTGACCAGCACACAGAAACCAGCGCGGACCTATAGGAGAGACCGCATAGACTGGAGTGACCTGACTGGAGAGACCGGTGCGCAGAGACCAGCGCGGACCGAAGAGAGACCGCATAGACCAGACTTGAGAGACCAGCGCGGACCCGTATGGATCCAGGAGCATGCAGCACGGACCCGTATGGAGAGACCAGTGCAGACCCGTCTAGATCCATGGGAGAGACCAGTGCAGACCCGTCTAGAGCCATGGGAGAGACCAGTGCAGACCCGTCTAGATCCATGGGAGAGACCAGTGCAGACCCGTATAGATCCATGGGAGAGACCAGTGCAGACCCGTATAGATCCATGGGAGAGACCAGTGCAGACCGTATAGATCCATGGGAGAGACCAGTGCAGACCCGTATAGATCCATGGGAGAGACCAGTGCAGACCGTATAGATCCATGGGAGAGACCAGTGCAGACCCGTATAGATCCATGGGAGAGACCAGCGCAGAGACTCAGCGCGGACCCAGTAACCTCCTGCAGCAGCAGTATATATGCCGTTGTTCTGTGGCCCGTGGATAAAGAAATGCCCCCTATAAATAGGAAGGGGTCACTAATACACTGCAAGATTTCCAATGTATTTGATAAAGCGTTGGCATGTTTCATTTCAAAATGAATTAAAAAGTAGGCCAGATCTGCAGTGAAAAAGGCGGTATATAAATAAAGATTACTAATAAAGATGACTACAAATAAATAAATACATACATCGGGACGTGTCCCCATTCTCTCTTGATGGAGTGGACGTGGCAGGGGGGACCCAAGACAGGTCCATGGGAGGTGGCGAGGGAGTCTTTGATGGAGGGGCAGGTGGTTGAGGAAACCCCAGCACAGGCCTGTCTGCTGTAGCCTGGGGTGAGGATGGGGGCTTCAGAGGCGCTGTAGAAGAAGAAGGCGTGGCTGCTTTGGAGCAGGCTAGGGATGAGGATGTTGGTGGTGGTGGTGGTCGTGCTGCTGGTGTGCTGCTACTGGTGATGATGCAGCTGCTTCTGATGACAGTGGAGGTGTTGAGATCCTTTGAGGCGGTGATGGTGTTGAGATCCTTCGAGGTGGTGGTGGTGTTGAGATCCTTTGAGGTGGTGGTGGTGTTGAGATCCTTCGAGGTGGTGGTGGTGTTGAGATCCTTCGAGGTGGTGGTAGTGTTGAGATCCTTCGATGTGGTGGAGGTGTTGAGATCCTTCGAGGTGGTGGAGGTGCAGAGACTTTTAGAGTCGGCTTCCTCCTTTTCGATGGCTGCACGAGCTGCGCAGGCTGAGGTCTCAGGGCAAAAGAAAGGTTATCCATCAACACTTTTACTCCGTAAGTGTTCAGATGTGGCCCTTTCCCTTCAAAAAGCTCATGCCTATTCCAGAACAGATTAAAATTCTCAATGAAGGCAAGTCCTCTGCGTGAACATTCGTTGAGTAGGAAAGTATTTAGCTGATACAGACGACTGAATTTCATTTGCTTCCCGTCCACATTTGGTAGTGGGCCACTGATAACGATTTTTACATCCATTTTAGCAAGGTTTTACTTCAGATGAACCAGGGGCTGAAGGAAAACAATGAATACAACAGCAAAGAAAATATGAGCTCTCTCAGTCTGGTCTCTCTGGTCCCGCTCTCTGGTCCCGCTCTCTAGTCCCCCTCTCTGGTCCCGCTCTCTGGTCCCGCTCTCTGGTCCCGCTCTCTGGTCCCGCTCTCTGGTCCCGCTCTCTGGTCCCGCTCTCTGGTCCCGCTCTCTGGTCCCGCTCTCTGGTCCCGCTCTCTGGTCCCGCTCTCTGGTCCCCTTCTCTAGTCCCCTTCTCTAGTCCCCTTCTCTAGTCCCCTTCTCTGGTCTCTCTCTCTGGTCCCTCTGTCTGTTCCCTCTCTCTGGTCTCTTCTTCGTTTTCTTCTCTAGTTTCTTTCTGGTCTCTCTCTGGTTTTCCTCACTGGTCTCTCTCTGGTCTCTCTCTCTGATATCTCTAACTATAAGTATTAACCTGAAAAATCCCAGTGTTTATTATTTTTCTCTCTTGTGTGTGTTTTCTCGGCCTCAGCGTCGCTCTGAAATCTGAGATTCGGAAGCTCAACCTCGTCCACGTGCTCCTCTGGTTTCTGATGGCGGCGCAGGTGATGTCTAACACTTTTACCAGGATTCTTGACTTTTACTTTTACAGCACACACTGAAATGATTTGGAGGGAAATTATGTGACGTTTTAATATATTTTTCTATAATTAATTACCGTAATTTTCAGACAATAAGCCGCCATGTTTTTACTAGTGCTTTGAATCCTGCGGCTTATATAGCAATGCGGCTAATATGTGTTTTTTTTGTGTGGTAGAGTAGTGGACTTACTATTTTGTCTTTCTGCTACATTACAACATGAACAACTGGATGAACTGCAAAAAGAGGATTTTCTTTTAAAATGTAGGTTTTTTTAGGTGGCATAAATACTAATAGAGATGAGATCCTTTATTCATCCCACGGTGGGAAAATGTCAGTGTTCACACAGTAGGAATGAGGAACACACAGCACAATAACTCTATACTGAACAAAATAAAATCTCTGACTGCAGTAAAAAGGAAGCAGTGTAAAATCTCTAGCTTTAGCATAATCAGGAGTAAATCTAATAGATCCAACTTTTATCATAATGAAGAAGCTAGAATTAAAAGTATAGAGGAGGATTTTCCCAATTTTTAGGAAAGTACTGCCCTCTCCATCTTTTTATCAAAACTCTCTGGTCTTATTGGACGAGCATGCATCACCAGAATGATTGACAGCTGGGAGGACCAAAAGTCTTAATGATCCACCCGGAAGTAGAAAATCCTCCTAATATACCTGTTTTTTAAGTACAAAATCTCAGACTTTGACATGATAAAGATTACTAAGATAGGTTTTTCTGTGATTTAGAAGATTTAACCAAGTCTAAGGGCGGCACGGTGGCTGAGTGGATAGCACTCTCGCCTCTCAGCAAGAAGGTCCTGGGTTCGAATCCCGGCCGGACCAGGGCCTTTCTGAGTGGAGTTTGCATGTTCTCCCCGTGTCTGCGTAGGTTTCCTCTGGGTACTCCGGTTTCCCCTACCACAAAAAATATGTACAATAGGTCTGGCATGCGCCTCCTGTTCGGCGACCCTGCTCCCATCTCTGTGTGGAGTGTGAGGACAAGTGCCCAAAAAATAATATAACAATTGTAAACCGCTTTGTGACTCTGGTCTGTGAAAGGCGGTATATAAATAAAGCTTACTTACTTACTTACTTACAAAAAAAACAGATTAATATTGATCCTGTAGAGAAGTGAGCGTGTCCCTCCCGTCTGCCCCAGGTGGTGGTGAGTCAGCTGGGCCTGGTCTCCCACAAGCTGGTGGCCTCTCCGTACCAGTGGCAGTACCCTTACCTCCTGAGCCTGGTGCCCACGGTCTTCAGCGTCCTGGCCCTGCCCCGGAACAACATCAGCTACCTGGTGGTGTCCATGATCAGCGCGGGGCTGTTCTGCGTGGCGCCGCTGCTGTACGGCTGCATGGAGATGTTCCCGGTGGCGCAGCAGCTGTACCGCCACGGGAAGGCCTACCGCTTCATCTTCGGCTTCTCCGCGGTCTCCGTCATGTACCTGGTCATCGTCATCGCAGTGCAGGTATGTACCGTGTGTAGTACCGTGTGTAGTACCATGTGTAGTACCATGTGTACCTGCTGGCAGTGATTTTGAAGTGTGTGTGTGTGCGCGTTAAATGTGTACGTGTGTGTGTGTCTACGTTAATGTGTACGTCTATTGTTTTCACCTCTTCAGTTTATTATTCAATCTTTGTTTTCCTTTTATGTATACATACAGTGGGGCAAAAAAGTATTTAGTCAGCCACCAATTGTGCAAGTTCTCCCACTTAAAATAATGACAGAGGTCTGCAATTTTCATCATAGGTACACTTCAACTAGAAGAGACAGAATGTGAAAAAAAAATCAGGAATTCACATTGTAGGATTTTAAAAGAATTTATTTGTAAATTATGGTGGAAAATAAGTATTTGGTCACTTCAAACAAGGAAGATCTCTGGCTCTCGCAGACCTGTAACTTCTTCTTTAAGAAGCTCTTCTGTCCTCCACTCGTTACCTGTATTAATGATACCTGTTTGAACTTGTTATCTGCATAAAAGACACCTGTCCACAGCCTCAAACAGTCCGACTCCAAACTCCACTATGGCCAAGACCAAAGGGCTGTCGAAGGACACCAGGAAAAGAATTCTAGACCTGCACCAGACTGGAAAGAGTGAATCTACAATAGGTTAGCAGCTTGGTGTGAACAAATCAACTGTGGGAGCGATTATCAGAAAATGGAAGACATACAAGACCACTGATAATCTCACTCGATCTGGGGCTCCACGCAAGATCTCATCCCGTGGGGTCAAAATGATCATGACCAAAAATCCCAGAACCACACGGGGGGACCTGGTGAATGACCTGCAGAGAGCTGGGACCAAAGTAACAAAGGTTACCATCAGTAACACACTACGACGACAGGGAATCAAATCCTGCAGTGCCAGACGTGTCCCCCTGTTGAAGCCAGTGCATGTCCAGGCCCGTCTGAAGTTTGCCAGAGAGCACATGGATGATACAGCAGAGGATTGGGAGAATGTCACGTGGTCAGATGAAACCAAAGTAGAACCGTTTGGTATAAACTCAACTCGTCGTGTTTGGAGGAAGAATACTGAGTTGCATCCCAAGAACACCATACCTACTGTGAAGCATGGGGGTGGAAACGTCATGCTTTGGGGCTGTTTTTATGCTAAGGGTACAGGACGACTGATCCGTGTTAAGGAAAGAATGAATGGGGCCATGTATCGTGAGATTTTGAGTCAAAACCTCCTTCCATCAGTCAGAGCTTTGAAGATGAAACGTGGCTGGGTCTTCCAGCATGACAATGATCCCAAACACACCGCCCGGGCAACAAAGGAGTGGCTCCGTAAGAAGCATTTGAAAGTCCTGGAGTGGCCTAGCCAGTCTCCAGACCTCAACCCCATTGAAAATCTGTGTTGTTCGGCGACAGCCCCAAAACATCACTGCTCTCGAGAAGATCTGCATGGAGGAATGGGCCAAAATACCAGCTACTGTGTGTGCAAACCTGGTAAAGACCTATAGTAATCTTTTGACCTCTGTTATTGCCAACAAAGGTTATATTGCAAAGTATTGAGTTGAATTTTTGTTATTGATCAAATACTTATTTTCCACCATAATTTACAAATAAATTCTTTAAAAATCCTACAATGTGAATTCCTGGATTTTTTTTCACATTCTGTCATTATTTTAAGTGGGAGAACTTGCACAATTGGTGGCTGACTAAATACTTTTTTGCCCCACTGTATATATTTTATTACTTATAAAAACATATTTTGTCCATATTTATTATTACGTCATCTTTTTTTAGCATTATAATTATTACCCTGTTTTTTTATTATGAAATTTTCAATCAAAAGAAACTGATCCAGCTCAGGACACGTTGGGAGAGGGGTCGGTGAAACATTGGTTGCCCCAGGGCAGCTGTGGCTACAGAGAAGTGCTGTATAAAACTGACAAAAGGTGATATTTCTGACTCCGGTTTGTCGCCCTCTGCAGGTCCACGGCTGGCAGATCTACTACAGTAAGAGGCTGCTGGACCAGTGGTTTAGCAGCACGCAGGAGAAGAAGAAGAAATGAGTGAAACGGCTTTGGACTCTTATTTGACTGAAGCAAACATGAGCGACTGGGTTCATGAAACTGAAATGTGCGGCTGGTGCGTAACCCTCACACAAACAACTGGTTTTAATCTATCTGCAGGTGGAAACATTTTGCTTAAAGTATTTTTGTATAGAGTGAGGAATGGGAGAGTGGGAGCAAACCCTGAGGTCAAAGTTCAGGTGGCAGTCTCAGTGGGTCCTTGCTGTTAGACTAATGCTCCCGAGGACATTCCACAAAATCTCAAAATGGTATATTACTTAATATAATATTAAGTAATATATGGCTGGGTTTTAATTGTCACAGGTTAAACAGAACTGGTGCTGTAACCAAAACATAACAACGGGAATGTTTTTGTAATTTATACCTTGATTTCTTTTTCCTCCATATTCAAATGTTTCCAGTTTTTTTCCAGTGTGAAATCATGATTAAATAAATTATTCAATTAAACATTTTATTCTTTTTTTGGGGTCACATAAAAACACAATACATGGTTCAAACAAACATCACTCAACAAAGTACCCTCAATTTCTTTCCTACAAACACACACTCTGGACGATGAAGATGAGAGGGCATCATGAGGGAGAGGGAGGAGGAGGAGAGGGAGGAGAAGGGAGGAGGAGGAAGAAGGAGGAGGAGGAGGAAGAAGGAGGAGAGGGAGGAGGGAGGGATGGGAGGGATGGGAGGGAGGGAGGGATGGGAAGGAGGGAGGGGAGGAGGGAGGAGGGAGGAGTGGGGGAGGGTAGGAGGCCTCACATCCTTCGTCCGGAGCTAAAATCGTACATTACACAGTAATGAACAAATGTCTCGTGGAGACAACGGGCTCTGCTTCAGCAGCAGATTAGAGCAGGACTGTCTAACTGACAGTGGTCTGGTGGATCTGTCATGTGACATCACATGTGCACATGGCTCATCTTGAGGACCTGCCGCACCTGCAGATAAACATCACATCTTAATAATCAGAATTTAGGATAAACTAATTTGGATAAGCTCAAGAGTGTTCCTTTTTGTTTTAACTTTTCAAAAGAAAACTACAGCACATGGACGATGCACCGTCACAGAAACGGACTGCCACAAGGACAGCACTCACCTTCTCTGCAGCTCCCCCTTCAGGCAGCAGCTGGTACGGCAGCTCATTCTCCAGGTTACGGGCGCCGGGATCGGCCCCTCTCCTCAGCAGCATCTTCACCCCCTCCAGCTGACGCTCACAGGACTGCAGGCCACACAGGACATGGAGGGCCGTGTTCCCGCTGAAGGTCTGCGTGACAAAGGACACGTCAGTCACACGTTGGTCACACGTCAGTCTCACATCAGTCACACGTTTTAAAGTTCCTGTTCGTAGATGGCACATACTAGTTGTCACACTTCTGTTAGTGCCCCGGGGCAGCTGTGACCACATGTGTGTTTCTGTGTGGTCTAAATGTAACCAGTAAGAGCGTGTACAGTTGGTGTGTTGTTCTTGTACCGGCGTGTTGAGCTCTGCCAGGGCAGACGGCTGCTGCAGCAGCAGGCGCAGAAGCTGCGTATCCCCGTGCTCTGCAGCCATGTGCACGACTGTGCGCCCGCTTTTTGGGTCCTGACAACAACAGCTTTAGATCAGAACAAGTTCCATTTGTTAGGCTTTAACGTAGGAAACTGGGGACACTCCTTTATCCGTGTTTCAAGATAAATGTGCCATTCTAAAGGAGCTGTAGATGAGGAGACTGCAGTTCTCACCTTCACCCCACAGGAGGCGCCCATGTGCAGCAGGGCTCGGACACAGTCTGCAGCCCGCCGGGCTCTCTGCAGCAGAGCCTCTTTACTGCACATGCTCCCCTCTGGACCCAGGTCTCCTCCTGAAGCAGAGACTTGTCTCAGGACAGCGCCGTGGGCCAGGACAGCCACATGCAGACAGGTCAGGCCTGGAACGAGGGAGAGGTGGGTTTGAGAATCTACAGCCTCAGTCCTGGGTCTACAGCCTCAGTCCTGAATCTACAACCTCAGTCCTGGTTCTGTACTAACCTTCATAGTTCACCATGTCCACATCCACTTCTTTTTGCAGGTTTTGAAGGGTTCTGAACACAGCCTGGGAGGAAATCCAAGGGTTAATGCTTTAACAACAGCCTTATCCCACTGTTATTGATTTACTAACGCAGGTGAAAGAGCAGCACGAGATACGGAGATCATTTATTGTATTCTGTAAAAGCAAACAGCCAGAACAGGACACTCTGCCCTCTCGCTGCACCATAGCCATAACCTGCTACCTCAATAGGGAAGTGCTCAGGGACAAAGTTTCCCCAGATAAGTGACCGTTTGTATCACACTCCCCATTTTGGGCTTAACACTTCTCTCTGTGATCCTGGTGTTATTATTGTGATATTGTCTTTGTAAATCCAGATATGAGTCATGTAAGGATTGACCAATCAGCTGCCTTCATTCCTTAGCAACATAAAAATGCCCATATAAGGAAATTGGCTACAGCTAGCTTATGTTCAAATCTTAAATCTCACCAGCAGGCTGCGAACATGTCTCTTCTCAACGCACACGTGCAGAGGAGAGCGCCCCCATGTGTCTCGAATGTGTAACTGCGCTCCATGCTCCAGGAGGTCATTGATGATCAGGGCCTGGTCTGTGGCCGCCGCAATGTGTAGAGCCGTCTGCCGCACAAAGACACTGTGATGCTAACACACTGTGACGCTAAAACACTGTGACGCTAACATACTCTGACTCTCACACACTCACACACACACACACACAGATGACTTCACACACTGTTTACATATGGGGTGTCAAACCGGTTGCAGAAAGGGCCGGTTTCATTCCAATCAAACAGGAGCACATCATACTCCACTCATTTCCTCAGGTCTGGTGTTTAGCATGTCTCCCTCTCTGGTCTCTCTCTCTTTAGTCTCTTTCTGATCTCTCTCTCTCATGACCACACCGCTCCCTCACCTGTCCGTTGTGCTCCTGCGTGTCCAGGGTCCCGCTCACAGACATGTGGGCGGCCAGAACGTACGCCAGAGCACGCTTCCCCTGAGCTACGGCGATGTGGAGCGGTCTGTGGGGACATCACAGACACACAACTGAAGTTCAGAGAGGACCGGGACCTCAGCACCAAGAGGACCAGGACTTCAACGCCAGAGGTCTCCCATCACAGTACTAACCAGGCCCTGTCTTACTTAGCTTCAGAGGACTGATGGGCCACATGCAGGTATGGACATGAATGTTCTGAACATGTAATAATATAATGGTATCTTTACTGGTCCCACAACCGGGATTTGTCAATGTTGACTCAATATAAGCAGCCACATTTCTTAGCTAGCTGTAAATGCTTCATGGTCCACAACAGTTGGATGTAGGCCTTACGTGTCTCCGTCCGCGTCCCTCATGGTGAGAACCTCTGCTGGGACACCCTTGATCCTGCGGAGCTGCTGTTGGACCTGCCATTGGAACAAGCTGATGACCGGGGCATGACCGGCGGGGGGAGGAGGAGGAGGAAGGTGAGGAGGAAGGTAAGGAGGGGGGGGAAGGGGAGGGTCAGGGCCGCCGGTCTCTATGGCAACCGTCGGCGCTCCACAGCCTGGGTGCCAGGACGAACTAATGTCCTGGAAAATAATGAAATGGGGGTTAGCATATTAGCATAGTTTTAGCATGTATAATGTATGAATGATTTTTTTAATTTAAAGTTTCATTAATTTGAATGAGAGCCCTCAAAATGACTGCTCTGGGAGTTCTGGTGGTTAAAGTACCAGGCCCACAGCTGCACAGACCTCCAGGTGGATGGGCGGAGAGCTGCGGACCTCTGTCCTGACGCCCTGGTCCAGCTTCGGTCTCTTCACACTCCCCTCCTCCTGCACCTGGACACAACTGCGACATCACCCTCTAGCCCCTCTCTTGCTAACCATAATTGCAATTGTTTGGCTGGCAGAAGGAGACGGTAGCTCACGCAGACACAGGGAGAACATGCAAACTGCTGTGAGTGTTAGCCCCTGCGCAGTGAATATTCTTATTATATTTTTGGAGCCAATGAAGTGAGCTCAGCACCGGAGTACTGTGCTCTCCTTCTCTAGGGAAGCAGCATTTTGGATCTGAGGACACTGTATATTCTCTTTAATGTATTCCTTCTTCTTTATTGTGCTAAATCTAGGGATTTTATTTCATTTTATCTTGTCCTCACTCTGTGGTATACAGATAGGATCTCCTAATCTTAATCTTAATTCTAGATAATTTCAAACCAGTCCAGAGTTTTAGGTGAATAATCCAGACGTGCACACACAGCGAACCCAGCGGTCGTGATGCTACTGGAATAGAAGATATATTCACGGATTTGTTTGGAAAATTATATGTTAAAATGCAACCAACAAAACAAGGGAAAATATATATCAGATTTGTTTTGTATTCTGTTCTTTTTGCTCTCTGTTTGTAGCCTGGCCTTAGCAATCCGTACACTCCGGTCAATCCCCATTTCCTGCATGTAACGTCTGGGTCTGGTCCCTGTGTTTGCGATTACAATTCCATCCGACCAATCAGTGAGCGCGGGAGGCGGTGTTGTAGTTAGATGTGGGTGACGTCAAGAGTTTGAGCCGAACGGGCAGGTTGTATTTGGCAAAGAATGTGATAGTAAAGTATTCTGCTCTGGTTCTATCAAGAAATTGAAGACAAAGCAAGAGGAATGTTTAGCAAATGTATTCCCTGACAAAAATGTTGGCGCTACTCCCCACAGGCTCCGTTAGCGGCAAAGGAGATGGATGGGCTAAATGCTAAAGCTAGGCTAAATGCTAAATGCCTCACTCACTCGGGCTCATTACATACGTCACGGTAAACTCAGATCCAATCGTTTCAATCTCCAAAAGGAGTTAAGCCCTCGCACCTGTTGACAGAGTCAATGGAGCAAATCTTGACCTTAGTACCAAATGTAATTTGTACTATGGTGTGGTACGACCAGGCTAGTTTGAAAGTGCATATTTCCCAAATGTAAAGATATAAAATGTGTGTAATAAGACAAAATGGATGAATGAATAAATAAATACATTTCCTGACCTGGCGTTTGAGCCGCAGCAGCTCTTTTACGGTGGTCCTGCGCTCCGTTGTCCATGGCTCAGAGAAGACAGACCCTGGAGACATGAGGCAGACGAGGGACCTTTACATTCAATATGCAAGAACAGTCTTCCTCAGAATGTCAGACAGGTGTATTTTTATTTATCTGTATGGTAATCCTGAGGCGACCGCAAGGAGTGGACTGACCCGGTGTGACATCACCAGTGTGAGGATTTTCTACTTCCGGGTGGATCGTTTAAACTACTGGTCCTCCCAGCTGAGTAGTGTCTTTTTTGGACCAGTCTAGTCTAGTCGCTGTGGACTTTTGAATGCACTTGTTAAATGAATGGGGCTAGTGCCGCTAACACATGTGCAAATGTGTTTTTTCACATTTTCCCTGCATTCATTTTGAAAAATCCACAGAAGACAGAAGTGATGTCACATTACTTTAAATGGCGGAGATAGGCGTGATTATGTCTGTTAGTATTTACAGTATGGTAGAAACCAGGCTGGATGTGTTGCTAAGGCGGTTGCTAAGGCAAGCCAGCGTCTGATCAGTGTATTCTTACATGGCTCATATCTGGATTTACAAAAACAATATAACGATGTGAACACCAGGATCACAGAGAGCGCTTTACAACATTTTTCTTAAGCCCAAAATGGTGCCCCTCCCTCACTCGCCCCGAAAAACTATGAACTTGTAAATGTGAGAAATGCTGCTAAAGCCTCGGACACATACCTGCAGGGTCCGGGTTCAGGAGACCCATGTGACCCATGTGACCCGGGTACTGGTTCCACTGGGGTTCTGGGTTTATCTGACCTGGGTACTGGTTCCACTGGGGTTCTGGGAGCACGTGACCCATGTGACCCGTGAACTGGCTCCACTGGGGTTCCAGGATGGCCGCGGTCATAACTGCATCACAACAAGAGCAGCCGTTAAAAAAGCGAGTGGCAACAAGACCCGGTGTCCCACGAGGAGCAGAGGAGGAGGGGGGGGGACAAAGAAGGAGGAGGAGCAGAGGAGGAGGAGGAGGAGGAGGGACCAGAAGAGGGGAGAGGAGGGGGGGGGGCAAGGGTATAGCAGGGCCAAGGAAAGGGGACCAGGGAAGGAGCAGGGCCAGAGGAGAAGGGGGACCAGGGGAGGAGCAGGACCAGGGAAGAGCAGGGCCAGGGAAAGGCGACATGGGGAGGAGCAGGACCAGGGAAGAAGCAGGGCCAGAGGAGAAGGGGGACCAGTGAGGGAAGGAGCAAGGCCAGAGGGGGAGAAGGGGGACCAGGGGAGGAGGAGCAGGGAAGGAGCAAGGCCAGAGGGGGAGAAGGGGGACCAGGGGAGGAGGAGCAGGGAAGGAGCAAGGCCAGAGGGGGAGAAGAGGGACCAGGGGAGGAGGAGCAGGGAAGGAGCAAGGCAGAGGGGGAGAAGAGGGACCAGGGGAGGAGGAGCAGGGAAGGAGCAAGGCCAGAGGGGGAGAAGAGGGACCAGGGGAGAAGAAGAGGGACCAGGAGAGGAGGAGCAGGGCCAGTGAAGGAGGAGCAAGGCCAGGGAAGGAGGAGGAGCAGGACCCGGGACTGGTCATGATCTTTAAGACTACTTTTGGGTTAGCGAGGCAGAGGGCCGTATACAGTGATGCAGAGGGCCGTAATTGGCCCCCGGGCCTTAGTTTGGACACGTCTGCCCTAAGTGTTTTTTTGCTCATTCCCAACTCCCAAAGTGTTGTTTTTATTGCACTTCCTCTAAGCGCTCTGTATTACGTCAAACCTATTTCCTGCCCAAGCTCAGAGTTTATGAAATTAATCACCAAAAATAAAAATAATATTTAAATCTGTTCAAAAACATTACATAAACAAGTAGCGGCGATGACCAGTGTGGAAGAAGGACGCACCAAGTCAGACATGGACCAGGGACCTGCTTTTGAGAATCGACTCACCCTCAGCCCGAGTACAAACTATTTCTCATTTACAGTAAGAAAGAGAAACACAAATGGATGAAATGTGAGCCCGAAGGTGATCTAGAAATATTGGCTTTTCAGGTTTTAGATATGTAGTAAGAGATGACTAGAATGTGCCCACACTGCCATCTGGTGGAAGCCATTTAGAATCGAATCCAGCTGCAGTCATTAAAGCTGGGGATTGTAACTTTCTCACTGCGACACAGAACCATAACATTTAGTTGTGTTTGTCCTCTGTAGCACCAATTTTATTAGAAAAATGGTCAATTAGGAACTCACACGTCAAAGACATCATGCTGTTTTGATTTTCTCACATTTAAGACTTTCTGTTGGAACAAATTGTAATATTTATGGGAAAAACGTGAAGTCCCTGCTTTACTTTAACAGTTGTAATCTCTAAACCCAGCCCCAGCTGTTGTTGGAAAGAAGACAAAGTCAAACTGATCCGACACAAGATTAAAAATACCCTAAATTATTATTCTTCAAACTAAAGATGAAGATTTTTGTGACTTGTCCAGCCCTGGGTCATTCTGATCCTCTTAGACCCAAATCCACTACTACCTTTCTTCTACTTTGAATCACTGTGGGAGATCATTTTGACAAGAAAAAGCTAAAATGCGATTTTGCAGAATACCTTTGAAGACAGTAAAAATTACTCAGTCAAATTTGTTTTGAAAAATAGCTTTCAACCAAATATCTATTAATTTGAACCTCACCTGTGGCGTGTGCTCCGTGTCCGTCCCCTTTACATGCAGTACACAGAGTACACGCAGTACACACAGAGTACACAGAGCCTTGCAGTAATGTGACCTAACCACGCCCACAGAAACTGCTTCCTCCGCCCCCACTGTCCCATTTTCGCACCAGGAAAACATTCCATTGTTTACACAGTGGTTGGCAGCACCTCAAACATTTATTTTTATTATTTCAACTGTAGATATCTGCAACTTGCGATTTGAACAAAACAGAATGCATCAAAAAACATAACTTTCTTTCCCATTTTGACCATAGACTGTGTATAGTGTGTGACATGACCATTGTGTTGAATGTGGAAAAAGCCGATTTGAACGTAAGATAGCTGGCGCCAACTTCCTTATATGGGCATGTGTTCTGACGGCACTAGCTACAACAGGGGTAGAAGTGCTGCAAAGACAATGTCTAAGTAAAAACTGGAGAGATCGCTGAACCACATTTTTAAAAGCCCAAAATGGTGACTGAGCTACAGTAGTTTAGTTTTACATGTAAGTCAATAGGAGCCAGAGTAAAAGCATTAACCCCATTGATTTTCATTAAGCTAGCAGGTTAGCGGTTAGCATTGTCCATCTATATACAATCTATGGTTTTGACAAATAAATTACAATCAAAAACGACATTAGTGCAGACCGATTGGCAGATGATTAAATTAGACCCATCACAAACTTGGCAGTATTTTTTTGTTCATTTTATGTAACAGCATTAGTGTAAAACAGCGGTAAATAAAAGCAGATTCAGAGACGAACTATTTAAAACGGATGAGCCGGCGTTCAACTACATTTTTAACACGTTTTAAGAATGGCAGAGTCTAAACGGGTTCAAAGGGCAGAGAGAAATGGGACGTGACTTCAATATGAGAAAATCTTGACGTGTTTGAACGTTTAATACATCTCCTTTAATTTGAAAACAACAATAGTTTTGATGTTTTTCTTTCTCCAACAGAAATCGCTGCACAGTTCTCAGTAGTTAAACTTAATGAAATATAAACATAGTGTATGGTAAGTGCTAAAAGCCACAAGATCACACACACAGGGATGGACAGGACCAGAGCACTGCGTGTTTTTAAAGGAGACAGACTCGGAGCCATACTGTGTTTGCATTGGGGGCTGTTCCCGCTGTACGGTGACTGCACCGGGACAACAGGCAATAAATAATGTTTTGTTCAAACGCTGTTAACACTAGAACTTCCAGAGCAGCTTTTGGATTGGCTTCTGTACAGCTCTGAACGTTGTGACTTTCTCTAGTTTATTTCTGCCAGTACTTTTGTGAAATATCAAATTTGTTTTTGAGAAGTTCTACCTTAAACTCCTCGTCATTTCACATACTTCAAATGTATACATTTTTGGTCCCTTGAAAACCAACATTCTTTGGCAGTTAAAGCCCATTTTCAAGGTCCTGGACTAGTTCTAGACTGGTTCTAGACTGGTGTAGGGCCAAGCTGACTCTGCTCAGAACCAGGAGCAAAGAAGAGCAAGTGCTAGTTACCAAGGAAACACAACCGTTAGCATTAACATTTCAACAAGCTTCTTACTGCACTCTCAATTGTTTTTATGAAGGGGAATTTCTCAGAAGCCCGTCGTTTTGAATGGGAGCAGTCAAAATGACAGCTCTGGGAGTCTTCTAGTGTTAAAGAGCAAACTCCTAGCACGTCTACAGCACCTCTTATCTTTTTGTAGTGCCGCTATCTTAGCATGGTTAGCCCATAAACCAAACAGCTGCCTGCATAACAATAGCTTAACTTATCAATTCAAGCCGCAAACCATTGTGCTAGCCTCAGGTCAAATCTAACCGCCATATTCAAAAAACACCCTAAATAAAACATTTTTGAGCTGAATTTTGATTATATTTTCTTAATTTTAATTGTAATTTTAACCTTGACAGGCCCGAGTCATTGAGACCCATTTAGACCCTAATTTAGGTATTTTTCCACCGTTTTTATTTGTCTGTGATGGGCAAATTTGACCCGAGGTTAGCACAAGTGTTAAATATTGTGTAGCCAGTGGTGTTGTGTTTTAGATCGTCCTGTAACAGAAACACAGAGAAACCAAAATGTACGATTGTAACGAGAGCAAAACATAAAAATGACCAATCCGGCCTCTTCTACACTTTTACACAGTCATTTGATAGTCATTCTCACAGTAATAAAACCACAAACAGTCTTCCTGAAAATGTGAGACAGGTTAGAAAAGTGTGCGTTTGTGCGTACTCGGGACTTTTTTTTGTTTATTGTCCTCTGGTTCTGTTTGTTTCAACTGTTGTAAACTTTGAGAGGATGAGTCTGAGCCTGTACCATGTGAGAGAAAATGCCATTCCATTTAAAACCTGTCAGTGCATAAAAACAAAACTTAACTCTCGAGTGTCATAAATAAGAAATATGCACATTCCAAAAACACGTCACTGCTGTTTCAAGTTTCACTTTTCCTTCCAATTCTGGCGTTCTTCCAGACGTCGTTCATTAAATAAAATAAAGTGCTCTACAAATATTTCCTGAAGCTACGACAAAGTAAAAAACAGAAAAAACCCTTCACTCGAGCCCTGTTTCCACCTACCCTACCCTACCCTACCCTACTCTCCCCTACCCTACCCTACCCCACCGCACTCTGCCCTATCATATCCTATCCTACTCTACTCTACCCAGGGGTGTGTCAACTGGCCCTGTTTAAATCGATACCTGGTCTTTCTTTAGTCCCTCTCGACACAATCCAGGCCGAGCTGGTACTAAACTGTCTAACCCTAACTCACAGTGATTGGCCAGAGTGCTGCTGGTTACCAAGGAATTCCCACAGATACTGGTTTGTTGTGGTGTGGGTTCCCAGGATACGGTACCAGATACTAAAGCTCAATGGAAACACAACTGGGTAGAGCCGAGCCGTGCCATGCCATGCCATGCCGACTAGGGCTGGTGGAAACGGGGCTTTACACACACACACACACGGGAAATGCAACGAGCAAAACTAGTACAAAAAATACTGCGACGAGAGAACGCCGTCAATTCAGTAGCATGGAGCGATTCCAAATAAAAAGGTGAAGTAAGTGTCCCCCACGGGCGGGTCTTCAGAGGAATGTCCCACCGTACAGGAGCGGGTCACAGTGGCGGTCTGAGTCTGGCCACGCCCACTATTGGTTACCTGCACAACAGAGAACACACAATAACCTCCAGTAGAAAAATAGATTAAGACATGACCAGAAGGAGCAGTTGTAAAGTAAGTGACAGGAGGATTCTTGTGTAGTTTGAATAAAAGAGTATTGACAGAAGGGAGGGGGGGATGTTCCTGATAGGGTGTGTGTCTCTGTGTGTGTCCCTTTTTTTTTTTTTTTTTTTTTTATTTGCAGAAAAAAAAGAAGACATACAAAACAACAGTGATACAAAAACATACATAGACATTCAGGTATACATAAAGGTGAACATACAGGTAGACGTACGGGTAGATATACAGGTAGGGAAACAGGTATTGGCGGTAAAAAGGGTTGAGGGGGGAAGGAAAAAGTTAGTTAGTCAACATCGGCGGTAACATAGGATTCTTTAGTTGGAGAGAAGGAAGCGTAAATAGAAGATGCATATGCACATCTATACACCTCTATTCACATATACAAGAGAGACATAAAATAACAAGGTTGGGGTGGAACAGAGAACACTAAAAGAGTATTGACAGAAGGGAGGGGGGGATGTTCCTGATAGGGTGTGTGTCTCTGTGTGTGTCCCTGTGTGTGTCCTTGTGTGAGTCTATGTGTCTCTCTGGGTCTCTCTGTGCGTGTCTGTGCGTGTCTGTGCGTGTCTGTGTGTGTTGCTGACCTGTGAGGTACTTGGCTCCCACCAACATGACCATACTGCCCAGGATGTAGAAGCCCAGGGGCATGCTGCAGAACAGGCTGGGCTCCCCTGGACACACCCCCAGACACACACATAAGGTTCAACGCGGGGGTGATGTGTTCTCAAATAACTCAAGTAGCAGCTCTATGTTTTAATGGGGTAAAAATCCCTCACACACACTTTAAACACTTTTATTCACATCCCTACAGGAAGACTGGAGAGAGACTAGAGAGAGACTAGAGAGAGACCAGAGAGAGACAAGAGAAGGACAAGAGAGAGACAAGAGAGAAAGACCAGAGAGAGACCGGAGAGAGACTAGAGAGACCGAAGCTGACTTTTAATGAAGATAACCATCATGTTTATTAGCGGTTGTGAACTGAGTTACTGCAAGGGACCAGTGTAAAGTCATCTCACTCTGGCAGTGTGTGTGTCCCCGTGTGTGACGGTGTGAGTGTGTCCGTGGCGTACCGTTGCCGGTAGCGACTGGCTCCGTGCTCTCCCAGTTCATGGCCCTCTGCACGGCTTTCTTCCAGCGAGCGTAGCGGATCTGGCTCTCTAAAACGAAAACACAGTGTCGAGGTGATGAGGAGGCAGAAAGAAGGAGGAGCTAGAGAGAAGGAGAGGCCAGAGAGAAGGAGGGGCCAGAGAGAAGGAGGGGCCAAAGAGAGGGAGGTGCCAGAGAGGGAGGAGCCAGAGAGAAGGAGGGGCCAGAGAGAGGGAGGAGCCACAGAGCAGGAGGGGTTAGAGAGAGGGAGGGGTCAGATAGAAGCAGGGGCAAAAGAGAAGGAGGAGCAACAGAGAAGGAGGACCCTGCACCCAGAACCGTACCTATTGGGTTGATCTGAGGCTCGAACTTCTCCGAGGTGACTTCACTCAGGTCCTCAGGGTTCAGGCTCCACACCCGAACGCCCTCAGCAGCTCCCGCCGCCATGGCCGCCCCCAGCGCCGTGGTCTCGGGCATCGACGGCTTCACTGTGACAGCCACACGAGATACGTCAGTTTGGAATTGACCAGCAGGGGGCGATGCACATTGCAAAAATATACAGTACAGACCAAAAGTTTGGACACACTTTCTCATTCAATGAGTTTCCTTTCTTTTCATGACTATTAACTAGATCCACACCAAGCTGTGTAAGGGCTGTTTGACCAATAAGGAGAGTGATGGTGCTGGGCCACATGACCTCCACAGTCACCGGACCTGAACCCAGTCCAGATGGTTTTGGGGCTGGACCACAGAGTGAAGGGGCCAACAAGTGCTAAGCATCATGGGAACTCTTTCAAGACTGTTGAAGACCATTTCAGGTCCTCTTGAAGCTAATCAAAAGAACGCCATGAGTGAAGCAGTAATCAGAGCAAAAGGTGCTACTTTAAAGAACCCAGAATATAAGACATATTTTCACTTGGTTCATACTTTTTTTTTTTATACGTACATAATTCCACATGAGTTAATTCATAGATTCAGATTCAGATTCATTTATTTGCCATTTGCAGTAAAACCACATAGGAAAAACTGTGCAAGACTACCCCCAGTGTGCACCAGACGACACACACCAGAGCTCTTGCTAGTTTTGAGGCCTTCAGTGTGAATCTACAGTTTTGATAGTCATGAAAATAAAAAAACTCTTGAGATGGGTGGGTCTGTCCAAACTTTTGGTCTGTACTGTGCATTACAACATACATGACATGTCTCGAGGTCACGTGACGGGTTTGAATTTTAATTTTTTTTCACAGAGAGAGGGTTCTGTCCAGAGGTTCTTCTAACAATTCTTTGGGTTAGAGGTCATTTCTGGTCTAGGCGTTTCTAGGAGTTTTTTACTTTTTAGCCTAGTCTGAAGCACTCTGTCGAAGTGAAAAAATGTTAAAGTCCTTTATTAAAAAGAGACTTCCTACGCGTTTCGACCAAAGCGGTCTCCTTCTTTCAGATTAATTTGGGTTTTTACTGTGAGCCGAGGATAAATATTATGACAAAGGCTTGGTAAATGTCACTCGGCTGTAATGAGTCATATTAGTGATTAGTCTCCCATTGTATAGTAAAAGTAAGTAATGGATTATATAGATATGTGTTGATTGTTGAACCATATTCCATACCATATTTTCCTAGTGTGTTGTCATATACATACAGTTTATGTTGGGCGTGGTATAAGGAAATGTCAACCTGAATTTATGGGTGTGAAAAGCAGGTATACTTCCTCATAAAGCTGTTGTTTTTGAGCGTATGCAAAAGGTATGCAACGAGAACCACAAACCAGTTTGGGAGAAACAGTGAGATCACTCTCCCCCATCTCTGTCTCTCTCTCTATCTCCCTCCCTCTCTTTCTCTCCGTCTGTCTATCTCTCCCTGTATCTCTCCCTCACTCTCTCCCTCACTCTCTCCTTCCCTCTCTCTCTCTCTCTCACCCCTTCCCTCTCTTTCTCTCTCTCTCTCCCCCTCACATTTGCTTATTGCCCAACACCTGCCGCATGATTGCTAATCCTAAAGGTGCGGTCCGCGTACCCACTGGGATGCACAGGATGTCGGCCTGGAGCTGCATGAGGAGGCGGTTGGACGTCATGCCCCCGTCCACCTGCAGCTGCGTCAGGGGGATGCCGCTGTCCTGGTTCATCGAGTCCAGAATCTGCACACACACACACAACACGGCAATGAACGCCCCGTCGCAGAAAATAGACCGAGGCAGAGCACAACGGACCGGCTGTTTATCTGCAAGAAAATACAGTTACAGCGGTCTTAACAGGACAAAGTACGAGATTTTGAAATGCAAAAACAGAGATATAAAAAAGGTTTGAACAAGAATTAGATCTGATTTGGTGGACAGAGTGACGCCATTTTATCTCGAGTTAGATTTGTTTATGCCGCCGTTCACAGCTACAACAGACAAAGCAGGAATGTACACACCTACGCCAATTCTGTCCAGTCACTCTGATTCATTTGTCTCTTTTCAAATAATCAACAATGTCAAAAACGCTCATGTTTTGGCTCCTCCTCCCCTGCTCATTACTTCCTCCTTATGGGACAGGCCCGGGGCATCTGGGTACACTTGGATACCAGCCAGATTTTCAGGACTGATAATAATCCTTAAAGTGGTGAAGACAAATCTAGTGTTGAGTATCAAAACTGTACTTTCAGCTTCGTGCCTGAGAGTTAAACCCATGAACGGGGGAGGAGCTAACGTCAGGCATTCTTGTAGGTAATGGTTTATTCATCTTTTCATTGCTGAGGATTAATGGTGCAGAAAACCGCTCTTTTCATTCCCTTTCATTCGCGTCGCTGTCTGCAGGTGCTTTGTGATTTTTGTAAACCCAGATATGAGCCCTATAAAGATGGACAAATAAGATTCGTTTTTTAGCTAGCCTTAGCAACCGTCATAGTAACACATCTACCCTCTACTGCGCCACCAAGCTAACGCCGACAGAACAAAAGCCTATAGAATACGCATGTTGGCTCCAGCTAGCTTATGCTAAAAATCTGCCTCTTAATCATTAAGGCCAACACTGAGGTGATGTCACACTCTGTCAGTCCACTTTGGGAGATGTAGAGAGCACTACTTGTCTGTGATTGGACGAGAGGGCGACATGTGGGTGACTGAGGCCCACCTCTTTAGTCTGGAAGCAAACGGCCTCCAGCGCGGCGAAGGCCAGGTGGCTCTTGTTGGTGAACTGGGTCAGACCACAGATGATCCTGCACAGAAGGAGACGGTTTGCATTTGGATCAAGCCTCAAGAGTTCAACCTACATCACACATTAGGAACGGGAAGTCAAGGGGAGTTAGTTTGGCTTCTCTGCCCGATAGATCCAAGTCTCTGTGTGTACACTGGTCCCTCGCTATTCACCTTTTCACCACAGATTTAGTGTGCGCCATTGCCGTGTGACACTTACCTTTATTTAAAGTGGTGTTTTTCTATGCACAAATGTGGCACGGCGTCCTTGTCTCTCTCTCTCTCAATCTCTGGTCTCTCTTTGTGTGTGTGTGTGTATGTGTATGTGTACGTGTGTGTGTGTGTATGTGTGTATGTATGTGTGTGTATGTGTATGTGTGTGTGTGTGTGTGTGTGCTCACCCTCTGGCACTCGGTTCCCAGTAAGGCGCGTACAGTCCTGAAAACGCAGGCACAAAATAACAGCCGTACGACGATCCCACGGAGGCCGCCAGTTTCTCTGAGAAAACAAACAATAAGAATAATTACTTTGACATTTCCTGTTTCAGAACATACAGTGAGAGTAAAAAGTATTTGATCCCTTGCTGAATTTGTTGGTTTGCCCACTAATAAAGACATGATCATTCTATACTTTTAATGGTAGATGTATGCTAACATGGAGAGACAGAATATCAAAACGAAAATCCAGAAAATAACTTTCAAGAATATATTTTAATTAATTTGTGTTTCATTGAGGGAAATAAGTATTTGATCCCTCTAGACAAAAGCAGTTAATACTTGGTGGCAAAGCCTTTGTTTGCAAGCACAGCGGTCAGACGTTTGTGGTAGTTAACCACAAGGTTAGCACAAATATCAGGGGGAATATTGGCCCACTCTTCTTTGCAGATCCTCTCGAAATCATTCAGGTTGGTGGGCTGTCGCCTGGCAACTCGGACCTTCAGCTCCCTCCATAGATTTTCAATAGGATTGAGGTCCGGAGACTGGCTGGGCCACTCCATGACCTTAATATGGTTCTTCTTGAGCCACTCCTTTGTTGCCTTTGCTGTATGCTTTGGATCGTTGTCATGTTGGAAGACCCAACCACGGCCCATTTTCAGCTTCCTGGCAGAGGGGAGGAGGTTGTCCCTCAAGACTGCACGGTACATGGCTCCATCCATCTTCCCACTGATGTGATGTAGTAGCCCTGTGTCCTTGGCAGAGAAACACCCCCAAAACATAATGTTTCCACCTCCATGCTTGATGGTGGGCACAGTGTTCTTTGGGTCATAGGCAGCATTTTTCTTTCTCCACACACGACGTGTAGAGTTTAGGCCAAATAGTTCAATTTTGGTCTCGTCTGACCATAGAACCTTCTCCCAATCACTTTGTGCATCTTTGAGGTGATCATTGGCATACTTTAGGCGGGCCTCCACATGTGCCTTCTTAAGCAGGGGTACCTTTCGGGCACTGCAGGATTTTAACCCATTCCGTCGCAAAGTGTTGCCAACTGTTTTCGGTGACTGTGGTCCCAGCTGCCTTGAGGTCATTCACTAACTCCTGCTGAGTGGTTGCAGGACGATTTCTCACAGTTCTCATGATCATTGTAACCCCACGAGGTGAAATCTTCTGTTGAGCACCAGATCGAGGTCTGTTGATAGTCATGTTTTACTTTTTAAATGTTCTAACAGTTGCACCAATGGTTGTTACTTCTATTCCCAGCATCTTGCTCATGTTTTTGTAGCCCATTCCAGATTTGTGGAGGTCAATAATCCTGTCTCTGAGGTCCTGAGAGAATTCCTTTGTCCTACCCATGCTGGAGAGGTTGGAACCGTCTGAGTCTCTGATTGGGTGTCTTTTATACAGGTGATTAGTTGGAACAGTTGTCTTCATCTCAGTCTTAAATTCCCAAGTTGATTGGGAGTGTCTAGCTGCTCTGTGAAAGCCAGAATTAGGAGGATCAAATACTTTTTTCCCTCAATGAAATACAAATTAATTGAAATATATTCCTTAAAGTTATTTTCTGGATTTTCTTTTTGATATTCTATCTCACCATGTTTAAATGCATCTACCATTAAAAGTATAGAATGATCATGTCTTTATTAGTGGGCAAACCAACAAAATCAGCAAGGGATCAAATACTTTTTACTCTCACTGTACATGTCTGATGGATGAAGATATTAGCTAGATATTAGCTTCTATCTACTGGTAGAAGCATCTTCAGTCCTGGATCCAACGCCTTCCAGAGGTTTCTCACATTTTTCCCCACTGGGTTTTTGATGATCCAGGAGAGTCTAAGGACAGTGATGATCCAGGACATTTTTGCTCAATCTCCGGGGTCTCTCTCTCTCTCAATCTCTGGTCTCTCGCTCTCTCAATCTCTGCTCTCTCTCTCTCTCCCCCCCTCTCTCTCAATCTCTGCTCTCTCTCTCTCTCCCCCCCCTCTCTCTCAATCTCTGGTCTCTCTCTCCCCCTCTCTCTCAATCTCTGGTCTCTCGCTCTCTCAATCTCTGGTCTCTCTCTCCCCCCCCCTCTCTCTCAATCTCTGCTCTCTCTCTCTCTCTCCCCCCCCTCTCTCAATCTCTGGTCTCCCCCCCCCCCCCCCCCCCCCCCCCTCTCTCAATCTCTGCTCTCTCTCTCTCTCCCCCCCTCTCTCTCAATCTCTGGTCTCTCTCTCTCCCTCTCTCAATCTCTGGTCTCTCTTTCCCCACTCTCTCAATCTCTGGTCTCTCTCTCTCTCAATCTCTGGTCTCTCTCTCTCCCTCTCTCTCAATCTCTGGTCTCTCTCTCTAAATCTCTGGTCTCTTAATCCCTGGTCTCTCTCTGCTCTTGTAGTGGGCGATACACAGTACATTGAATAGAATAGACCCTGTGTATAGAAACCCCGGAAACCTCCAGGGGTTTCTTGATATAAAAACAATGTTGTAACACGATTGAAAGTTTATAATGTGTCCTTTACAGACATTTACGGGAACATCTTACACATACCGAGCTCTTCGTGGGAGGAGACGATGCCCAGATTGTCCTGCAGCCACCGCACCACTGCTCCGGCGATGGCCACAGAGCCCTGGACACAAGGACAGGTCTCTACTCTGGACTAGGAGATTACTTTACACGCAAGTCAGAAGGAGGCAGAGTGAGCCAAACGTGGTCGTACCTCCAGGGCGTAGCAGGCAGGCTTGTCCCGGCCCAATTTGTAGGCCACGGTGGTCAGCAGGCCGTGGTCCGACATCACCGGCTGAAACGAGACCACAGTCAAAAACGGGACAAAGACAGAATCGGACCAGACTGGACTTACTTTAGCTCCAGTGTTTCGCAGTAGAAAGCAGCCAGTGCCATAGCTGAAACACAAAAGGAAAAACAATGGTGCTTTATGGTAATGTATTGGGTCTACAGCCTCAGTCCTGGATCTACAGCCTCAGTCCTGGATCTACAGCCTCAGTCCTGGATCTACAGACTCAGTCCTGGATCTACAGACTCAGTCCTGGATCTACAGACTCAGTCCTGGATCTACAGACTCAGTCCTGGATCTACAGACTCAGTCCTAGATCTACAGACTCAGTCCTGGATCTACAGACTCAGTCCTGGATCTACAGACTCAGTCCTGGATCTACAGACTCAGTCCTGGATCTACAGCCTCAGTCCTGGATCTACAGCCTCAGTCCTGGATCTACAGCCTCAGTCCTGGATCTACAGCCTCAGTCCTGGATCTACAGACTCAGTCCTGGATCTACAGACTCAGTCCTGGATCTACAGACTCAGTCCTGGATCTACAGACTCAGTCCTGGATCTACAGACTCAGTCCTGGATCTACAGACTCAGTCCTGGATCTACAGACTCAGTCCTGGATCTACAGACTCAGTCCTGGATCTACAGACTCAGTCCTGGATCTACAGACTCAGTCCTGGATCTACAGACTCAGTCCTGGATCTACAGACTCAGTCCTGGATCTACAGACTCAGTCCTGGATCTACAGACTCAGTCCTGGATCTACAGACTCAGTCCTGGATCTACAGACTCAGTCCTGGGTCTACAGCCTCAGTCCTGGATCTACAGCCTGTCTGCCCGTGGGAGAATATCCCTTACGTGTTTTTGGCTTGCCCGTCCTGGAAGCACATCTGGCCAACGAGAGCGGCCGACTGGTCTCCGAGGCACTGCACAGGAATGACAGTCATGACAAATCCAAAAAGCACAATGATCACTTTTAAACCAGAAGCTGCGGCGTCTTACCCCCGAGATGGGGATTCCTGTCAGGGCTCCAGATTTCTGTTGGACAAAACAAAGTACATCTTTATAAATCTGTGGTAAATATATAGAGAACTTTGATGGTTTGAGTTTTTATATGGGAAGAATACAGTAAGAAAATGGGAAAGTTTGAGATTTATTTGTCATTTGTGGACCAGGAATTTGACCTAATTTTTCAAAATAAAGTTGTGAGAAAACAAGGAATAGTGGATTACGATGTTTGGAAGTCTGAAAAACCATCGGAAAAATATCAACATTTTTGGTCTCTCTCTGGTCTCTCTCTGGTCTCTCTCTGGTCTCTCTCTGGTCTCTCTCTGGTCTCTCTCTCTGGTCTCTCTCTCTGGTCTCTCTCTCTGGTCTCTCTCTGGTCTCTCTCTGGTCTCTCTCTGGTCTCTCTCTGGTCTCTCTCCCCCTCTCTTTAAATTATCAATGACTCATGAACTATACATAATCTATAATCTTGCTAGTTTGTGTTAGCTTTAAGAATTCCAAAACTTTACTTTCATTTTCCAAAGAGCAAGCAGAGGGTGCAAGGCTTTAGAAACAAATACAAAGGAGTCAACAAAAAAACCACATTGTTGTCAGAAAAAAACTGGTTACCTTGACAACCACATCACTCCATCACAGCCGCTAAACATGAAACTGTGCAAAGTGAGACAACGACAGAGGAAGGAGTAGGACCACACCAGAGACCTCTACAACCTCTTCACTCCCTGTGCGTGTGTGAGATCCTTACGCTCATAAAAGTAGTGCCAAAGAGAGAAGAGGTCTGAGGAAGCCACAACACAACGCGCATCAGGGCTTTTCAAACAAACGCACAAGAGCCACGAGAAATGCTACGGTTCCTTTGACTCAAAAAGAAAGATGGCCGTGTCGATGTGGGTGTCTCGCTTTAGCTTTGCTCTGATTGATCGACGCCTAGTACCTCTCTCAGTGCCAGGACGGGGAAAAGAACCTTAACTATGATTCTATAGTTTCAAAAAAAGTTACAAAAGAAAAAAAGATCAGGCAGATCAGTGGCTGCATCCAAATTCCACAGTAACAACTCTCTGTCTCTGCTAATCCCTTCTTAGCCCTCCTAATCCCTCCTCGGCCCTCCTTATCTCTCCTTCTGCCCTAAAATTGGCCTTGTCTGAAACGTGGCAACTCCAGGTTTGTTCCGAGTTTTTAAAAGGTAGTTTAAAAACAAATATGGAGGACAGGGAAGGAGAACAACAGATGAGGATGTGTCTTTGCTGAACTCAGATTGTAAATGTCTCCATTGTGAGATCAATGAAGTTTATGTATCACAGTTCTTTTCCCCCACAAGAGTCCAGACCAATCAGGTAGTACGAGTTTGAAGGCATGAGAGGATCAGACTCATTTACCACAGAAACTTCTAAACTTTGTCTTTTTGGAATCCAATGAGAGAAACAGACAAACTTCCACAACACTGCAAAAAGGGGATGGAAAATAAGTACAAAACTGCTTAAATTTGGCAAAATATGACTTCATTTGAGCACATGATGACTGCCGTAAAACAAGATTCCCCAATGGGACAAAGTAAAATTATCTTGTTTTAAAAAGATACAGAAATGTCTTGTTTGGAATGAGAAAATAAAGTGACAGTTCTTGATGTAAAACTAAATGGCAAATCAGAATGCACTCAAATTAAGATAAAAACCACTTGATTCAAGCAATTTTTACCTCATATTTTCTCATTTTTTGCAGTGTGGCAGGAGGGGTGCAGTCCATGAGGGAACAATGTGGGTTATCTTGACTAAATGACGAAAAGCACAGAGGTTTAGAAATGCACCGGTGCCGTGACAAAGCGTGAAACACAAGCAGGAAGTACAGCACGAACCAGACGGAGAGAAGAAGAAGAAGAAGAAGAGCGTGACGAGCTACTTACCCGACTAGAGCTTATTTTCTAGCAGAGAGGAGAAATAATGACACAAGAGACACCTGAGACGTCTGCCCAGTCAGAAATACATAACAGTGCATGGTTGCATGTGTACGAGTCTGAGGCCTAGAGGAAGTCTGAGGCCTAGAGCCGGTCTGAGGCCTAGAGTCGGTCTGAGGCCTAGAGGAAGTCTGAGGCCTAGAGCCAGTCTGAGGCCTAGAGCCAGTCTGAGGCCTAGAGTTAGTCTGAGGCCTAGAGGAAGTCTGAGGCCTAGAGTCAGTCTGAGGCCTACAGTCAGTCTGAGGCCTAGAGGAAGTCTGAGGCCTAGAGGAAGTCTGAGGCCTAGAGTCAGTCTGAGGCCTACAGGAAGTCTGAGGCCTAGAGTCAGTCTGAGGCCTACAGGAAGTCTGAGGCCTAGAGTCAGTCTGAGGCCTAGAGCCAGGCTGAGGCCTAGAGCCAGTCTGAGGCCTAGAGCCAGTCTGAGGCCTAGAGTCAGTCTGAGGCCTAGAGCCAGGCTGAGGCCTGCTCATTCCTTACCCAGACCCAGTCGAAGTATGTTTTGAGAAGTGGCAGTTATTTAAACTGCCGACACAGGTTTTTAGACCATGGTTAGGTCTAAAAAGGTCAGGTTAGCTGTTGATATGCCGACTACACTTGGGCCTGGACAATGGTGGGAATGTGTGGCCCAGACCTGCCCCTGGTCCTGTAGTCTCCCCCAGACCCGACCCTGGTCCTACAGTCTGGCTCAGGGTCAGTTCCTGTGGTGACCTCTAACCCTCAGCAGTGTCTGTGTGACAGTGGGATCAGGACGAGTTCTCACCATGAGGCCGTAGATCTCAGAGGAGCTCCGTACTCGGGGCAGAATCTCCATAGGGATTCCAAAATATCTGAAAACACAAAGTGGATTATGGAAACACACAATAACAACATGAAGCTTTTCTAAAGAGACCGCACTGGCAGAGCTCCGGGTCCCAGTCCATGGTGTGGATGTTGAACAGCATGGTCCTGCTAGCGTTGGTCACATCGGTGCAGTGGACTCCCCCGCTCCTCCCTCCGGTCAGACACTGCACGCAACCACACAAACACACATTTAGACTCCACTCTGTCCTCTGGTGCTGGCCGTTGCTGGTCTCGTACCCAGATCAACCAGGAGTCCACGGTGCCGAACATGGCGCGGTGAGAGAGCACAGCCTGCTGCACCTCCTCCACGTTGTCCATGAGCCAGCGCAGCTTCACGGCGCTGAAGTAGGTGCTGATGGGGAGGCCCGTCTTGTGCTGCAGGACACAGACACACGGATCTATCATTGTAACACGGAAAATCAAACTTGTATCAATGTGTAATACCTTGTGTGATCTTAATATTTGTTTTTAATACCCTGTGAGATTTAAATGTGTGACTATAATTCTGTGTGATCTTAATGGTGATTTATGTCTTATGTGATGGGTTAGCTGTGGGGCAGAATGTGTTAGATTGTGTAGCTACCTGTAGCTGTTTGTTGTTTCTTGTTGTGTAGGAAAATTGCTCTACAAAAGAAGTTGATTCTTGTGCTGGTGCAGACCTTTGTCCTGTGAGTGTCTCGTGTGTTTGAAAATCAAGTTGAACACAAAGAAAATGTTGCTTAAACACATTTATTCTCCCCAGATCACCTTCAGATAAGCCTAGCTTTAGCTAACTGAAAAATCGTTTCCTACATGTACGTCTGGGTCTTACCATGTGTTAACTCTGGTCCATGATCATTTCCTACATGTACGTCTGGGTCTGATCCTAGTGGCTGCAGTTCCTGAATCTCCTCCGACCAATCAGAGAGCAGGGGAGGCAGGTGTTTTCAGTGTCGGTGACGTCAAGAGTTTGTGCTGAATTTGCTGGTTGTAGTTTGTCAGAAAATGCGATCGTAAAATAATCTGTTCTGGTTCAATCCAAATATCAAGAAACTGAAGCCGGAGCAAGAGGAATGTTTAGTAAATGTCATTGAAGCAAAGATGTTGTGGCTCTGCTCGCCACGGGCTCCAGTGGCAAAGGCGATGGCTAAAGCTAGGCTAAATGCTAAATGCCTCACTCACTCGGGCTCATTACATACGTCACGGTAAACTCAGATCCAATGGTTTCAATCTGCAAAAGAACTTAACCCCTCCCACCTGATAACGGAGTCAATGGAGCAAATCCAGACCTTAGACCAAATGAAATTAGTATGATGGTGTGGTAAGACCAGGCTAACCTTCAGATGGTTCTTGTTCCTGCCAGGTGTTTTGCTGATCAGGTCCTCCACGGTGGACTGTGTGCGCAGGTCCAGCCACACTGAAAGCACACATTAAAGGTCAGGGTCATGGTCCTCGGTGACGGACGCACACTGAGGTCCAGGCGCACACTTAGGTCCGTACCCACGGCGTTGTACAGCGGCTCCCCAGTCTCCTTGTCCCACACGATGGTGGTCTCTCTCTGGTTCGTCACTCCAATGGCTGCGCAGAGAAAACCAAACATTACTTTGAACCTTCACGTTGGGAATGTCAACCCCCAATGCAAGTATTTGTCATTGGAATGTTGTTTAAGTTATCATTTTAATCATTCCTATATGTGGCTAGATATATCTGCTGCTGTGACCCGTCCTGCTCCACCCAGAGGCTACTCCACCTCTGCTGCTGTGATCCGTCCCGTCCTGCTCCAAGAGGCTACTCCACCTCTTCTGCTATGACCCGTCCTGCTCCACCCAGAGGCTACTCCACCTCTGCTGTATGTAACTTTACCGTTTACCTTTATACAGTATATTTCTAACTCAAGATTGCTTAATGGATTTTTTTAAGTCAGAGTGCCTCATAAAGTGTCAAAGTATCTGGACTTAGGTTATAAAAATAAAAGGTAAATTTATTTTCTAAAAATCAAACTTGAGACTGGTTGACTGGTTTCACATTAAATTCACATAAACTTCAGCTCATTCCGTCAGAACATCAGGTCTGTTACATTAAAATAAACAGGGCCGCTTTAGGATACATGACTAATTTATAACTGTTTTGTTCTATAAACTTCTAATAGGGCTGGAAAGTCTCGTCCCAGAAGCACTTCCGGTTCATTGCTCGGATACAAACAAACCGTCAGCTGTTCGAAGAGGTGGTTTAATTGAATGGTGCAAAATGCTCTGCTTTTTTTTCTCGGCTGTAATCATCAAAGTTTACACGAAGCATGCTCATTTTTTAGGTTTCCCAAAGACCAACTGAAGCTGTGGGAAAAGCTATGCAGTTCTGATAAAACATTTTGTCTGATTTTACAGACGGTTAACTTGAATATGTATTCAAGCTAACTTGTAGCTAATGCTAACCTGTAATAGTGCGCGGCCAAGCCTTTAATTGTGAAATATTGTCTCTCAAATATTTATTTATTTGAGAGATAAAGGAGGAACATATTAACACATATTAAATAACATTTAACAAATATTCAAATATAACAGAAAACGGACAATCATTAGTATTAAATGAATAGGTAACCCAACTACATCATGTTATTTTTGACAGCACAGCAAAAAGGGAAAAGGCCCAATGTGAAGCTGCAGTGAGTGTGAAGTGGAGATGGAGCTAATGAACAGATAGAAAACTGATCATTCATAAACATTGGCTTATAACCAAAGCAGCAAAGATATCTGTGGGACAACATCAATCTATTTGCATGGGAATAATGGTTCTATATTTTCTTTGTGATGCATAATAGTGGATTAAATACAATAAGTTTGAGCACGGCCCTGCACCTTTCTCATCTCCCTGTCATATAGAAACGTCAGCACATGGCCAGTTCACAGCTAATTCCGACCGCTCACTCCGTTTTTCTGTCCCAGAGACAAAATGTGTCCAAAACAACACAGAAAAATCCATTAAGGAGGAAGAAGTCAGCGATCTCAGCACCATACAACTGGCACGTGTGGTTTGTTTGTATCCGTGGGTGGAAATCTCGCAAAATCTCGCACTTCCGCTTTCCAGCCCTATTGACAGAGGAATTTGGAAACAAGGAAAACATCAAATATCTCCTGATTACTACAATCTCATTTGTGGCCTTTTGTCACACTTCTGTACTCTTTAGTGTGAACAAGCCCTTTTCCACATCAAAATGGTTTAATCTTCTCACGGGAAATGCAGTGCGACCATTCACACCCTACGATTCTCAAACATGTATTTTGTATAATGTTACGCGTAAAAAAGTATTTGGCCTAACTCACATTAAACAAACAGCCTCAAAGCGTCATGTTTCCGCCCCCACGCTTCACAGTGGGTTAGTGTTGTTACGATACAGAGCCAAAAGGTCCCCTGCTGAAGCCGGCTCAGGTCCTGAAGCCGTCTAAAGTTTTCCACTGACAAGAAGAGGTCAGATTAAACCAAAACAGAGGATTTTGGTAAAAACTTGAGAAACATTTTTGAGAAATACCGCTCCACTATATCCAAATGTAGGACTAACAGATTTAATAACTCTTTTATCCATGTTTCCGTTAGTATTTTAAACCAGTCCTTGTTGTTTTATTGTGTGCTCATAGTTTCCCACACACATAGTGTGACTTTCTGCTGCTGCAAGCAAATAATATAGATACCTTGAACCATCCCAAGACCACCATAAGCACAGTGAAGCATGGGGATGGAAACATGACGGGTTGGGGCATTATTTGTGTGTGTAACCTGACGACCTCTGTCATTACCCACAACGATTACGTTACAGAAAGTTGGGTTTGAACTTTTGTTTTTGATCATAATTTCTGCACCATTATTACTAAACTGAAAATTTGTGATTCTCTGGAAAACAAAAACATTCTTTCACTCAGAGTTGAAGTGTTCCCATGGCAACAAAATGGAGGTGTGTTTGCACAATTGGCAAACACCAGATATTTTCACCCCACTCTGAGCCTTAAAGTGATAGTCTGGAACTCTAAATGAATTACACATTTAAAGAATAAATGTTGATATAAAAGTTTGAGAGTCCGTTATCAAGAAATAATTATCGGTAGAACGTTTTGAAATGACATTCAAATCAATGGAGCGTTCTACTGCTGCTGTGAGGAGCTGTGTAATAAATTATGATTAAATATTTGAATAGTTAAATTAGTAATCTCTCCTCCGCACGTCTTGGACCTGGCGCGTGCACAGAAAAGTAGGCGTGGCTTCAAGACCAATCAGGAAGGAATGGGGGAAGAGGGATTTCTACCTTTAATATTGGAGATATCGATGTTGAGCTGGGAGAGCTTCTCACACGTGCGCTCCATGCACTCGAACACCGACTGGAGGATCTCCTTGGGGTCCTCCTCCACCCACCTATGCCAAAGGAGCTCGGGTTAGAGACTGGACTCACGCAGAGACCTCAGTGACACGGCTGCAGCTCACCCTTCTTTGGGGAAGCTCTGTTTGATCTCCACCTGATGATGGCTGAGCAGCTCTGCAGTCGTCGAGTTGAAAACCTGAAAGAAGAACCACAATAAGCACTACTGCGAATTCTACTACTCCAGCTACTGCCATTACAACTACAGATACTACTACTACTACTACTACTGCGGCTTCTACTACTCCAGCTACTACAACTACAGATACTACTATAGATACTACTACTACTACTACTACTACCGCGGCTTCTACTACTCCAGTTACTGCTATTACAACTACAGATACTACTATAGATACTACTACTACTACTACTGCGGCTTCTACTACTCCACCTTCTGCTATAACAACTGCAGATACTACTACTACTACTACTGCGGCTTCTACTACTCCAGCTACTGCTATTACAACTACAGATACTACTATAGATACTACTACTACTACTACTGCGGCTTCTACTACTCCACCTTCTGCTATAACAACTGCAGATACTACTATAGATACTACTACTACTACTACTACTATTGCGGCTTCTACTACTCCAGCTACTGCTATTACAACTAGATACTACTATAGATACTACTACTATTGCGGCTTCTACTACTCCAGCTACTGCTATTACAACTAGATACTACTATAGATACTACAACTACAATGCAATTTATTCTTGAGTAGTCCTAAAAACACAACAGCAGACTTAACAAAACCATTGAAATCACCAACACAGATCAGAGAATCAACAGTTAAGACACAAAATGTACTACTTACTACTAATGTTTATAAATGTTCATACATGTTGTAGAACACGCATGTCAAACTCAAACCCGTGGGTCAAATCCGGCCTGCGAGACCATTTTTAGTGGCCCCTGAAACTGTTTTCAACTTGCAGCATTGATGGCTATGGGATTCAATGGCATGTTATACTTCATTATGGAAAACAACCACATAAAAGAATCTGTTCTAAAATGTTAACTAACATTAATTAGAAGTTAAGTTGAGTTTTTGTTTTTCATGTAACTATTCATATTCAAATCACATATATTTCGGGTATTAGACTGAGTTATGATTAGGAGTGTGACGATATATCGATATGGTGATGCATCGTGATACTTTCTCACGCGATCAATTATCGATATACTTTTGCCAAGTATCAATTTTTTTATTTTTTTATTGTATCAATACTTAATATATGGTTACATTACGCATCTCCATTCCATTTATAATGAAATAAAGTGTAATTTTTCACTTAACATTTTTCTTTTTATTTATGCCATAAATAATCGTAGGTATTGTTGTGGAATTTCTGCACAGACCGAGAGCAAAAATATTGTAAACAACCAAGAGCTGTATATAATAACGGACAGAGTCACGCCTATCTCCGCCGTTCATAGGAGTTGGCCATGAAAAGTGCTTTCATGGAGCAATCCAAGATGGCCACGAGTGGTCCCGCCCACAAGAAAAATGTGAAAAAACGCATCTGCGAATGCGTCAGCCGGCGCAGCTCCATTCATTTAAACGAGACCGCGGTAAAGTGGCCCTGCATTTTGTCGGCAGCGGTAAAGAGGTCCGCACTTTGAAAGCGGTTGGCTCCTTTATGCTGTTACTTACGGTAAACGTGGAACGGGAAGCCGCGACGAGAAGCAATTTTATTAATAAAATCATTAAAAAAGAACAAAAAGAGTTTTGCGACTACTTTCACTGCACACTTGTTCACTGTGATGCCCTCCACCAATATGTAAAATATAATTCACTTTTACTGTAGAAATTCAGAGATAATAGGGGTCAAAATGTGCCATTTTGATCCCAAAAGCACTTTTTAAAATTAATTTAAAATAAATCTAAAAAAGTTCCCTGACTACTTTCACTGCACACTTGTTCACGGTGATAACCTCTACCTATATGTAAAATATAATTCACTTTTACTGTAGAAATTCAGAGATAATAGGGGTCAAAATGTGCCATTTTGATCCCAAAAGCACTTTTTAAAATTAATTTAAAATAAATCTAAAAAGGTTCCCTGACTAATTTCACTGCACACTTGTTCACTGTGATGCCCTCTACCACTGTGTAAAATATAATTCGTTTTTACTGTAGAAATTCAGAGAAAATTGGGGTCAAAGTGTGCCATTTTGGTCCCAAAAGCACTTTTTAAAATTCATTTAAAAAACATCTAAAAAAGTTCCCTGACTAATTTCACTGCACACTTGTTCACTGTGATGCCCTCTACCACTGTGTAAAATATCATTCACTTTTACTGTAGAAATTCAGAGAAAATTGGGGTCAAAATGTGCCATTTTGTTCCTAAAAGCACTTTTTAAAATTCATAAAAAAAAAATCTAAAACAGTTCCCTGACTAATTTCACTGCACACTTGTTCACTGTGATGCCCTCTACCACTGTGTAAAATATCATTCACTTTTACTGTAGAAATTCAGAGACAATTGGGGTCAAAGTGTGCCATTTTGGCCTTGCGACCACAGCTATGGGCCGCCGCATCAGCGATTGAGGCAGAGAACATGGTCCACTTGGACTCCATGTCCCCCTCTTCCGCCGGGACCTCTCCAACTCACACCTCTCACCGGAGGTGTGAGTTGAAAGTCCGTCTGACAGGGGGCTCAGCAAGACGTTCCCAGCAGACCCTCACTATACGCTTGGGTCTGCCAGGTCTGACCGGCTTCTTCCCCTGCCAGCGGATCCAACTCACGACCAGGTGATGATCGGTTGACAGCTCCACCCCTCTCTTTACCCGAGTGTCCGAGACACACGGTCGAAGGTCAGATGATACGACAACAAAGTCGATCATCGACCTCCGGCCTAGGGTGTCCTGGTGCCACGTGCACTGGTGGACAACCTTGTGCTCGAACATGGTGTTCGTGATTGACAAACTGTGACTGGCACAGAAGTCCAACAACTGAACACCGCTCGGGTTCAGATCAGGGGGGCCGTTCTTCCCGATCACCCCTCTCCAAGTGTCACTGGCGTTTCCCACATGGGCGTTGAAGTCCCCCAGGAGAATAACGCAGTCCCCGGGCGGTGCACCGTCCAGTACCCCTCCCAAGGACTCCAAGAAGGCTGGGTACTCTGCACTGCTGTTAGGCCCGTACGCCGTCACAACAATGAGAGACTTGTCCCCCACCCGGAGGCGGAGGGACGCGACCCTCTCATTCATCGGGGGGAACTCCAACACGTGGCGGCTGATATGGGGGGCAATGAGAATGGCCACCCCAGCTCGCCGCTTCTCCCCGCAGGAAACACCAGAAAAGTGGAGCGTCCAACCCCTCTCAAGGAGTTGGGTTCCAGAGCCCAAGCTGTGTGTGGAGGTGAGGCCGACTATCTCTAGTCGGTATCGCTCAACCTCCCCCACGAGCTCGGGCTCCTTCCCCCCCAGTGAGGTGACGTTCCACGTCCCAAGAGCCAGATGTTGGGTGTGCGGACTGGGTCGCCGAGGTTTCCGCCTTCGACTGCTGCCCAGTCCTCTCAGCACCGCGCCACCACGGACCCCTCTGCAGGTGGTGGGCCCACAGGAGGGACTGCCCATGTCATCCCTTCGGGCTGAGCCCGGCCCGGGCCCCGTGGGCTAAGGCCCGGCCACCAGGCGCTCGCATACAAGCCCCGACCCCAGGCCTGGCTCCAGGGTGGGGCCCCGGCTGCGCCATGCCGGGCGACGTCACTGGTCTATTTATTGTGCTATCCATGGTGGTTTTTGGACCGATCTTCTTCTGACTCGTCACCTGAGACCTGTCTGCCATGGGAGACCCTACCAGGGGCATGAAGCCCCAGACAGCATAGCTCCCAGGATCATCCGAGTACTCAAACTCCCCCACCACGTTAAGGTGGCAGTCCAGGGGGGAGTACAACCCCCTGGGGGGTTAAAATCTACAATTTTAAGAAGTGTTTTTGTGACCAAAATAGCACACTTTGACCCAAATTATCCCAATTATCTCTTAATTTCTCGAGTAAAAGTGAATGATATTTTACACAGTGGTAGAGGGCATCACAGTGAACCAGTTTACAGTGAAAGTAGTCAGGGAACTTTTTTAGATAAAAAAAAAAAAGAATTTTAAAAAGTGCTTTTGCGACCAAAATGGTACACTTTGACCCCAATTATCTCTGCATTTCTACAGTAAAAGTGAATGATATTTCACACAGTGGTAGAGGGCATCACAGTGAACAAGTTTACAGAGAAAGTAGTCTGGGAACTTTTTTAGATTTTTAAAAAATGAATTTTAAAAAGTGCTTTTGGGACCAAAATGGCACACTTTGACCCCAATTATTTCTGAATTTCTACAGTAAAAGTGAATGATATTTTACACAGTGGTAGAGGGCATCACAGTGAACAAGTGTGCAGTGAAAGTAGTCAGGGAACCTTTTTAGATTTTTAAAAAATGAAATTTAAAAAGTGCTTTTGGGACCAAAATGGCAAACTTTGACCCCTATTTTCTCTGAATTTCTACAGTAAAAGTGAATTATATTTTACACAGTGGTAGAGGGCATCACAGTGAACAAGTGTGCAGTGAAAGTAGTCGCAAAACTCTTTTTGTTCTTTTTTAATGATTTTATTAATAAAATTGCTTCTCGTCGCGGCTTCCCTTTCCACGTTTACCGTAAGTAACAGCATAACGGAGCCAACCGCTTTCAAAGTGCGGACCTCTTTACCGCTGCCGACGAAATGCAGGGCCACTTTACCGCGGTTAAACGAGAGACTTCAAAAATTCACCGCGAGTAAAATAGAGTGGACCAAAAAAATTCACCCCCCTCAGCATTGACACACATGTGGAACGGAGCTTTGGGCCAAAAAAAACGAAAAATGCTGTATACTTTTGGGCCCAACCAGCTCTTATGTTTTTAAACTAGGCCCCTGACAAAAATGAGTTCGACAACCCTGTTGTAGAATGTTAAAGTGTCCTGGATCATCACCACATTCTCATTCTTGTTCAACAGACTCTAAAAAACTCTAAAACCCAGTAGGAGAAAAGTACTACAACTACTGCTGCTTCTTCTACTTCTGCTGCTGCTAGAGATTTACCAGATATCTTGACAAAAAATTTCATTGTGTTGGAAGTTGCCTTGATAATCAGACTGAACTCTTGTCTTTACATTAGAACACTGAAATGTAGTTCCATCTCATGCACCACTGGTTCATATACTAAAGCAGCACTATTGACATGATACCACCTGGATTGATTGAATTTAAAATGAAAAATAAAAAGTACCTTGATAATAATTTAAAGATTGGCAAGATTATTTCACTATTTTCAATAATCAAAAGGCCAACACACTTTGTTGTTATTTTCACACATGATAAGACACAAAAACGGCAAATCAGTAAAAATGTCATTAAACTGGGCTGGGTGACATAGATTTCATTCAGACAGATCATAAATTAATGTTACCATGGCTCTAACAAAAATGGAGAGGCAGAAGAGGAGAAATAGAGCGAGATTCATTCATTGCAGCGTCAAAAATACAAATAATAGAACCATTAACGTTAACGTCAGTTGATAACGTGTGACTGACAGCCTCTCACCAGAAACCGTGTGGAGCTGGTGCCCTGGTCTATGGCAGCGACCAGCGGGCCCAGCTCTACCCGGTGAGACGAGGCGGCCATGGTCCTGTTCATGAGCCCCGGAGGCTCCTCGGATCCCCGGTACACCGCTCACAAGCTACGGAAAGCGACAATCCCTGGGCTTGTCGGTCAGACTGATGCACAGCTCACGCGTACGTCGTGTCTCAGCTTGATGACGTATGAGGACGTTCTCGCACCAGTCAAATATTCAAGGTCATTAAAAACTACTGCGGTGAAGGAGTTGAAGTGTTGATGATAAATATAACATCAAAGACGTACCACACTTTTTATGTTTAAGTTTTGGACAAAAAGCAATGTTCCCATACCGGGAGTCGAACCCGGGCCGCCTGGGTGAAAACCAGGAATCCTAACCGCTAGACCATATGGGAACTTATGATCGTTGGCGGGAAAAAAATGTTTATAAATCAAGTACTTTATAATGTTCTTGTATGCTTTTACCTTTTAGAGCTGGTTAACTGCCTCTATTTACTACATCCATAATTGTTTTTATAGTAGTTTCCCTAATACATATAAATACATGAATTTCACATTTGGTTTGGGTGAGGGTTACTTGCTGTGACCTCTATTCTCCACAGGATGTCGCCAAACTCCCGGAATGCTCACACCTGTCACGCGTCTTTATCTTGGATTATATTACATTCCAAACTTCATGTTTAAACGTTTATTGTGCAAAAAATGTGTCATGCACGTTTCATACAGTGTAATTAAATACAATAATAAATGCATACACTGCAAGAGCAGTTAATGAATGAGTATATGAGACTTGGTGACTGTGGGCTTAATATTATAATAGATTCACTTTTGCACATACGCGATTTGGTAAGCACAGGGATGGCTTGTGTGAAGATTGTGGCAAGGAGGAGACAGTGAAACATGTACTTGCAGACCAGAGGGTGTAGCGTTAGACCAGAAAATGCAGACAGTTATTGTTGGGTCTTGATGTCTTGAGTCTTTGCAAACATTGCTTGGTCTAATAATTTACTCTAAATGTGTTGATGTTGTTTTTATAAATGTGTATAGCTCCCACAGATATATATGTTTTAAGTAGGAGACTTATTTTTGGCTCTCACCACTATAAAAGTTCCCGACCTCTGCCATAATAAATCGTAGTTTAAACTGGCGCGCGGTCTGTCGGAAAATAACAAGGAGTAGACGCGCGTTGATGACATCATTTCTAGTGGCCATTGTTGTCGTGCAGTTCCGTGCCGTTTAGAAATGCTTCAAGCGGCGGTTTTCTCTCTTTAGTCTGTTTACATATTCACATCTACAGATTCTTCAGGAGCTTTCCAAGACCTGCAAACACAATGTAATAACAACAAACATACATTTACGTCGATATGGTTAAAGCGTTGTGTATAACGTGTGTTTCTCTCAGGGCTGATTACTGGAAATCTCAGCCGAGGAAGTTCTGTCAGTATTGTAAGTGCTGGATCGCGGACAATAAACCCGTGAGTACACAACCACAGACTGTACAACGAACACGGTATAAATACATGTAATATTACTAGAGCAAAGTAACCAACCGCTTTGTTCACAGAGTATAGACTTCCACGAAAGAGGCAAGAATCATAAGGAGAATGTTGCAGCCAAAATATCAGAGGTATTTTAATGATATAAGCTTGTACGATGGTGTCTCTGTCTGGTCCCTCTCTATGGTATGAGCATTGAAAGACCATAGTAATAATAATGTTCTTTCTTCCATTATCAATAACTTGACGTGTGATTCAGATTGATTCTTGCATGTTTGGTCTACTCTTTCTAACACTTATGCTTTGACAGATTAAAAAGAAGAGTATTCAGAAAGCCAAGCAGGAGGAGAAGGCGTCCAAACAGTTTTTGGCGATGGAAGAGGCGGCACAGAAGGCCTACGAGGAGGACCTGAAGCGGCTGCAGAGAGAGGACGGTGTGTTCTCAGCCAGGGATGATACAAATACAAATACCAGAGAGAGACCAGAGAGAGAGGAGGGAGTGTGACCAGGAGGAGAGACGAGAGCGAGACCATAGAGAGCAGAGAGAGACCAGAGCGAGAGGAGAGACCAGAGAGAGAGACCAGAGAGAGAGACCAGAGAGAGACCAGAGAGAGAGACCAGAGAGAGAGAGCAGAGAGAGACCAGAGCGAGAGGAGAGACCAGAGCGAGAGACAATAGAGAGAGACACCAGATGGAAAACTTGTGATAGGAGCAAACATACAACTATACAGTGCCTTGCAAAAGTATTTGGCCCCCTTGAACCTTTCAACATTTCGCCACATTTCAAGCTTCAAACATAAAGATATAAAAATTAAATTTTTTGTCAAGAAAAAACAAATGGGACACAATCGTGAAGTGGAACAACATTTATTGGATAATTTAAACTTTTTTAACAAACAAAAAACTGAAAAGTGGGGCGTGCAATATTATTCGGCCCCCTTGCGCTAATACTTTGTAGCGCCACCTTTTGCTGCAATTACAGCTGCAAGTCGTTTGGGGTATGTCTATCAGTTTTGCACATCGAGAGACTGGAATTCTTTCCCATTCTTCCTTGCAAAACAGCTAGAGTTCAGTGAGGTTGGATGGAGAGCGTTTGTGAACAGCAGTCTCCAGCTCTTTCCACAGATTCTCGATTGGATTCAGGTCTGGACTTTGACTTGGCCATTCTAACACCTGGATACGTCTATTTGTGAACCATTCCATTGTAGATTTGGCTTTATGTTTTGGATCATTGTCCTGTTGGAAGATAAATCTCCGTCCCAGTCTCAGGTCTTTTGCAGACTCCAACAGGTTTTCTTCCAGAATGGTCCTGTATTTGGCTCCATCCATCTTCCCATCAATTTTAGCCATCTTCCCTGTCCCTGCTGAAGAAAAGCCGGCCCAAACCATGATGCTGCCACCACCATGTTTGACAGTGGGGATGGTGTGTTCAGGGTGATGAGCTGTGTTGCTTTTACGCCAAACATATCGTTTTGCATTGTGGCCAAAAAGTTCGATTTGGGTTTCATCTGACCAGAGCACCTTTAACCAACTTTAAACAAGACTTTTCATGGATATATTTGAGAAATGGCTTTCTTCTTGCCACTCTTCCATAAAGGCCAGATTTGTGCAGTGCACGACTGATTGTTGTCCTATGGACAGACTCTCCCACCTCAGCTGTAGTTATCTGCAGTTCATCCAGAGTGATCATGGGCCTCTTGGCTGCATCTCTGATCAGTCTTCTCCTTGTTTGAGATGAAAGTTTGGAGGGACGGCCGGGTCTTGGTAGATTTGCAGTGGTCTGATACTCCTTCCATTTCAATATAATTGCTTGCACAGTGCTCCTTGAGATGTTTAAAGCTTGGGAAATCTTTTTGTATCCAAATCCGGCTTTAAACTTCTCCACAACAGTATCTCGGACCTGCCTGGTGTGTTCCTTTGTCTTCATGGTTCTTTCTGTGCTTTAAACAGAACCCTGAGACTATCAAAGAGCAGGTGCATTCATACGGAGACTTGATTACACACAGGTGCATTCTATTTATCATCATCAGTCATTTAGGACAACATTGGATCATTCAAAGATCCTCACTGAACTTCTGGACTGAGTTTGCTGCACTGAAAGTAAAGGGGCCGAATAATATTGCACGCCCCACTTTTAATTTTTTTGTTTGTTAAGTTTAAATTATCCAATAAATTTTGTTCCACTTCACGATTGTGTCCCACTTGTTGTTGATTCATGACAAAAAATACATTTTTTATATCTTTATGTTTGAAGCCTGAAATGTGGCAAAATGTTGAAAGGTTCAAGGGGGCCGAATACTTTTGCAAGGCACTGTATATTTAATGCCCAAGAATATACCATATTTTATACTTGCTTTTTTATGCTAAATTTTTATTTTAATTTTAATTTTTAAGTATAGATTTATTGTGACTTTATGATATAGTTCAATTCATTGTGGTTTGATGTTACGCACATTTCTTAATTTCTCTTTATTCTGTGGCAGCGTTTGGCCCTGACGTCTCTACCGCCGCCTCTGTCACGTCCACGTACCAGCCTGTGCCGACGGTGCGAGCTGCCAAACAGCCCCAGCCCAGCAGCGAGACCAGCAAGCAAGAACCCAAGCAGCAGCATCAGCAGCAGAAGAAGAAGAAGCAGTCCAACAAGAGCAGTCATCCCAGGCCTCCAGCAGATTATGATCATCCCAGACCTCCAGCAGATTATGATCATCCCAGACCTCCAGCAAATTATGATCATCCCAGGCCTCCAGCAGACCCTGACCATCCCAGAACCCCAGCAGAGCCACCGGAACAGCCCTCGATTCCAGCCCCTCAAGCCACACTCCCAAAACCAAGGTAAGTAATGAAGCTCCTTTTAAAACAGAGCTAGCATTGCTGTCCTCTCCTTTGTGCTAAAACCATAGTATATAAAATATTAGTAAATATTAACAGATGTAGTCACGACTATCTCTGCCTTTGAAACAAATGTGTCACCACTTTTGCTGTCTGTGGTTTTTTCAAAATGGCTGAAAATGTGAAAACAACGCATTTGCGCATGTGTTAGCTGCACTAGTCCCATTCATTTAGTGATTGCATTCAAAAGTCCACAGCAGCTAAACTAGACTGGTCCAAAAAAATATTCTCCCCTCATTCCCGCATCATCTCCCCGCATTGACAGCATTTGAAACGTAGCTTTGGACCAAGAGCCACTTTTGGACCATAACCCACTTTTGGACCATCCTGTGAAGACGTTTTAGATAGAAAAGAAGATCCCATACAAATGCATTGGGTAATTCTCTTTCCGGGTACACCCCCCCCCACCCCACCCCCACGAGGAGTGAGATTGCAACATGTCAGCGCACATGATCATGGACCTTTTGGAGCTGGGACCCGCCCACACTGGTCAAGACTTGTTGATGTTAGCTTAGTATAGTAAACAACATTAGCTAAATTCATGGCTATCATTCCGTTACTCTTCCTTTAGACCTCCCAAGTCCAAGCGATGCACAGAACCCAATCTGTGGGTGAAGGGGACCACGGACGAGGGCCACATTTACTATTACAACAAGCTGAGTGGAGGTGGGTGTGTCGGGGGAGGGGGACGTGTGCATGTGGGATGTGGGATGTGACCCCGCTCTTGTGTGCCCCCTAGAGTCACGATGGGACAAGCCACAACCAGAACCACCGGGAACCTCCACCGTCCCTATAGAGGTGAGTGAGAGGGAGAGAGCGAGAGAGAGAGCTCCGACTGCAGACTCTGGTCCCTCTTCACCACTGCTGCCTGATAAGATAAACCTTTATTAGTCTCTGTGATACTGTGGTTGCATCACTAGTTTAGCTTGTTTTATCCATGTACTTTTAGCTTTGTTTATGTACTTTTCTGGTGCACACTGGGGACTTTTGCAAATTTATTCCAAGGGGGTTTTGCTGCAAATGGCAAATACAATGAATCTGAATCACTGCAGATGCTCTGACCTCATGGCCTCCCAGTGCAGGATTGAGGTCCTGGTTTGGTGAAGCCAACGGGACATAGGCAAACACATACTGTGAACTGAGGAGGTTGTGTTTAAGGAGGAGCAGGAGGAGGAAGAAGGAAGGAAGGAAGGAGGTGGGAGGAAAGGGGAGGGAGGAGTAGATCCCTAAATGTGAATCTCTTATGTCTTGTTTGGTCTAATAAATGTATTTCTGCTTCAGCCTCGTCCTGTCTGTGTGTGGAGTGAAGCCGTGAGCCCAGAAGGACACACGTACTACTACAACACAGTGACGGCAGGTAGGACTTTATCCTGAGCACTTCCCTATTGGACTTGATTGAGCTAGCCGTGTTAGCATAGTCCGTCTGTATACAGTCGGTGTGATAACAAACCCACAGATGCTTCCTTCCATGTGCTTTGCTCCTGTGTAGAGACAACCTGGGAGAAGCCTGGAGACTACACCTCGCCTGGTGCAGAGGCAGGAGACCCGAGCACGAACACAGGGACGAGTCCTGAGGAGGAAGCAGAGACTGGAGACCAGGGCCAGGAGTCCACAGAGCCCCAGATCAGCTCCACGGTACGGGACTGGAATGGTTCTCCTCTTAGACTCGCAACATTGACGTCATGAACAGAACTGTTTGACAGGTGCAAACCTTTGACCCACATAAACCCTGTGAAAACTATAATGTGGGTAAAGTGCCTAATGACAGTTTGGCTCAAAAGTGGCCAAAATGACGTGCGCTGACATGCTTGCAATACCACCCCGGGCCGATGGGGGTGGACCCGGAATAAGAATTAGCAAAAGTTGGCTCTTGGCCCAAAGCTCCGTTCCACATGTGTGTCAATGCTGAGGGGAGTGAATTTTTCTGGACTGCTCTAGTTTACTCACTGTGAATTTTTGAAGTCGCTCGTTTAAATGAATGGAGCTTGTGCCGGCGGACACATGCGCAGATACGTTTTTTCACAATTTTCTTGTGGGCGGGCTCACTCGCGGCCATTTTGGATAGCTCCAGTAGAGCACATTTTTTGGCCCATTTGTTTGAACGACAGAGATAGGCGTGACTCTGTCTGTTAATATATACAGTCTATGATTGTGGCACATGGTGGTCTCTCATCACAGTACTATCCAGACCCTGTCCTGCTAAGCTTCAGAGGTCTGACAGGTCTGGCTTTCACCTGCAGGTGGTGCCACAGGATGACTTTATGCACCTGTTCAGGGACAACATATATTTACATGTGAAATGTGCATTAATAATGTCCGTGCCAACACGCATGTGTTTAAAAACAAAATAGTCCACTCTTACCAACTCATTGTGTCAAGCTTCTCCCAGGCAAGGCCATTATATTTGTAAAACATAGTTCTTATACAAAACAACTCAAAGTGTGAACGTGAGAAACCCTCAAAATCACATAAATAATCACAGTATATTTAAGAGGATACAATCCTTCAGTTGCAGCGCGTTTCAACATTGTCAGTGTAAAAGCCTGTCTCACATTTTCAGGAAGACTGTTCCAGATTTTAGCCGCATTAATCTGAGATGCTGCCTTCCCATATTTATTCCTCTCTGGTCACCAATAGGAGTCCTGTCCCTGTGCTCCTCTGAGTCCTAGAAGGAAGCCAGTCTCTATAGACTTTACTACCTCCTTTCAAAGACACAATAGACACATCTGAGCCTTCTCTCTACACCTGGACCCTGGATGCTTGGGTTCTGCATTCCTGATCACATCTGTGTCCTCAACATGTTTTTGCAGAAAAGGAAAGCAGAGGCCGAACCCCAGGAGGAAGACGAGACCAGCGAGTCTGAGAAGGACTCCGAGAGCCAGGAGCCAGAGACTCCCATGGGCAGGTTTAGACCCCCCAACGCCTACGGCACCTGGGAGCGCATCAAAGTGACCAAGGACCCATAGTGAGTGAGAGACACTGGCCCCCCGACATGCACCACCGCTCTCCAGAGAGAGAGACACACACACCAGAGAGAGAAAGAGACAGACCAGAAAGACCAGAGAGAGAGACCCAGACAGACAGACCCAGACCAGAGGCACCAGAGAGACAGACCCAGACCTAGACCAGAGAGAGACCCAGAGAGAAACCCCAGACGAGAAAGAATGAAGCAATATGAAGGAAAATAGCATAATTTATTCATTACAACCATCATTAATCTCAGGCATAATTCATATAAATATATTTGCAGTAAAGTTTAAAGTTCAGAGCTGGACAGATATTACGTGACGTCCTCTGTGTCTCTCGCAGTGCGGCCGTGGACTGGCAGCTGCCGCGGGTCCAGGTTGAAGAGGTCCCTCAGGTGGACATCCCCCCGGAGCCGAAGCACAAGTTCAAGACTCGGGTGATAACGTCGTTGGGAGACAGCGGCAGCAGCAGCGTACCCGCCACATTTAAGAAGAAGAAAAATTTAAACACCAAGGCCCGAAGTCTGCGGCAGCGAGACCACGACGACTGAGAAACCGTTTGAGAGCCCACAAAGACACGCTTTATATTTGTATCATGTGGAGAAATGTGTTTTAGGACATTAACTAGTTCTTCAGAGCAACGACCCAGGACCGTGAACAACATATTGGGCTGAAGAACATCCCTTTTGGCTCAATCTGGTCTCATGGAATATTGTCATCTCCAGTTTTGCTGAATAAACTATGTATTTTTCAGATGTTTTTTTTTTTGGAGTTTGGATGTGTGTCTGCAAACTGCTATAGTATAAATCTGCCTGGTCTCGTCCCAGGTCTCCCCACTCTCTCACCCAGGTCCCCCCGCTCTCTCTCCCCTTTCTCTCACTCAGGTCTCACCCAGGTCTCTGTCCTTGCTGTCTCACCCCTGTCTCTCTCCCCACTCTCTCTCATCCAGGTCTCCAATGTCTCTGTCCTTGCTGTCTCTCTCCATGCTCTCGCACCCCTGTGTGTCTCTCACTCCTGTCTCTCTCACCCCTGTCTCACCCTGAGGCTTGCTTCCACTATGTCCATGAGAGCCTTTGTCTGTGCGTGTTGCCGCAGATCCTGGATCAGCTCGTGCAGGGCCTCTCCTCCTCTCATGAACTCCTGTGAGGTGTGACAGAAAGAGCAGTGGGTTAGAACAGGGAGCGTCATAGCAATGGCCTAAAGAGATTGATCTAAATCTGGGAAGAGGAGGTGGAGGACAGTGGAACAACAGGAGAACTCACTTTGATGTCCCTGGAGGTGTGTCCGGTCCGGTGGTCAGTGACACGGTCCTGGCTGAAGTTGTAGGTGCGGATCCGGTCCGACTGAGAGCGACTCCCCACCTACAGAACACCGTGTGAGTTCGGGACAGTAGCAGGTCAGCTCTGTCTGGCTTATATCAGCTGGTCAATGTTGAAGATGCAGAACCTTGCCCAAAGTGCTAGTTAGCATATTTTTGAAGTGTTGAAAAAGAATTATAATATCCGTCAAAAGAAATGAAAGACCTCCTGGATTTTGTCTCATATCTTGTTAAATGGTCCATTCTAATCCTGTGTGTGTGTGTGTGTGTGTGTGTGTGTGTGTGTGTGTGTGTGTGTGTGTGTGTGTGTGTGTGTGTGTGTGTGTGTGTGTGTGTGTGTGTGTGTGGGGCTCCACCTGCTGCTTGCGGGCTGTGCTCCTCTGCTCCGCTTCCCGTCCCACAATGCTTTGGTACAGGCGCGCCTTGAGCACCCGCATGGCCGTGTCGCGGTTCTGCAGCTGCGAGCGGCTTTGCTGGCACTCCGCCGAGATGCCTGCGGATACAGCGGTGTTCCTAGTTTTTCATTGTGGAATTTACTGTGGCATTTCCAGTGGTTGAATGTGGATAAACATGAGTAATTAACAGAAATACACACACACACACTCACTCTTTCTCTCTCTCTCTCTCACACACACACACATATATATATACTCTCCCTCACACACCTGTAGGCAGATGCACCAGCCTCACGGCGCTGTCCGTGGTGTTGACGCTCTGTCCTCCCGCTCCTCTGGATCTAAAGGTGTCCACACGTAGCTCCTTCTGATCAATGGTCAGGTCCAGCTGCAAAAACCACAGACATGAGCTCAATGTTGTAAAATGGCTCAAGGACAGAATGCTTAATCGATCATTAAAATAATAATATAACTTATATAATTCTACTGTCATTTATACAGCGTGCTTGCTCTTTTTCCAAATTAAAATTCCAGACTTTCTAAAAACTGATATTTTTTTCCCAAGACCTTAACTTTATGTACTTGTATACTTGTGTACCTACTTCATTGGTTGTTAATTTTTATAGGCTAGTATTCAATGAACAAATGCATTATTCACAACGCCTTTGAGCATACTGCAAAATTCTATACTTTATTAAAACTTGCGCAAGCACCCTGTTCATAATCCACAAATTAAGTTTTAAGTTGGTAATTTTTATATTCAAATAGCCTATAGCACTTTTTGATGGAACCGGCAAGGACCAAAACCATTTTAGACATGCTCAGACAAGTCCAGTTGATGTCACTGTGTTGGTAACTCTCAAATGAGCATCTGGTGTTAGTGAGTATAGATTATGATGTCGGATACTTTGACACTTATACAGTGGTACAGTATAGTGTGGCACCTCCGGCGGCTGCGGCAGCACGATCACAGTCATGGTTCCCGTGTGGATCTTCTGCATCCTGGAGGACAGGCCGACCTCTGGGATCCTCTGCACCCGGTGTGTGCCGCCCTCGTGCTTCAGATGTCGGTACACCGCGTCCCCAGAGATGCGCACGGCGGCGTGGTGCAGCCCGCCTGACAAACACACCGTCAGCAGGGTTAGGGTTCGGGTTCAAATGACTGTGGTCTTCGAGGAAACATCTGATCATGGCAGAGTTATCAAAGCCTCACAGCTGACTCAAGACATTATACATAGAGGAAAATACTTTTGGTTTTAAAGCAGAAAAAGCTTTGTCCATGATGTCATAGTCTGTAGATTTGTCATAAACAAGATGAGTACGTCACCTGTTATCATGAAAATGTAATCGTTGCAGTGCATACTAGGCCCAAACCAATATAATAAAAGAGGACATTTAATGACACTGAATAATAACAAGATACATACGGACATAACAGAAAATATCATACCCCAAGGAGAGATGGTTGGAGAGAGAGAGAACCATGAATGCTCTGGGTCTTAGTAATAGACCTGCTACATGTTAGAAAGAGTTGATATACCGACCAAGAACCCAAACTAGTCCATCCCAGCTCTCTCTGTCAGCCAGAAGCAGGCCAGCCCCCAAAAGAGGGGGGACATGGACATCAGATAAGATCCATACCAACATCACCTTTAAGACCAGCAACAGACGTCCACTTAACATTTAAAGTAAGTAAGTAAGTAAGTAAGTATTTATTTATATACCGCCTTTTCACTGCAGATCTGAGTCTCAAAGCGGTTTACAATTGTTAATTTTTGGGCATTTGTCTCTCACACCACACAGAGATGGGAGCGCGGTCGCCAGTACAGGAGGCGCATGCTAGAACTATTGGACATATTTTTAGTGGTAGGGGAAACCGGAGTACCCGGAGGAAACCTACGCAGACACGGGGAGAACATGCAAACTCCACTCAGAAAGGCCCTGGTCCGACCGGGATTCGAACCCAGGACCTTCTTGCTGAGAGGCGAGAGTGCTATCCACTCAGCCACCGTGCCGCCTGGCTAAACTTCTAGACTGCTTCTATTCAAACCAATTTAATTCCCCCCAAAATATTTTGTTTTCTACCAGTTTTATCTAATAAGGTTTTTTTACCTGGCACAAAACCAAATCAACACATGACTGTTGGTCAGGCGAAAATCTAAACATACTAAAACACACAAACGTTACCAAAATCCGAGGGTGTGTAGTTGACGACCTCCCAGTCCCAGTCCCTGCTGTGGGCGTATCCCTGGTACATGTGGAAGACCTCTCTGGTGAACTGCTGACAGATGTCCCCTGGATAACACACATAACACACAACACACACAAACATGAAACTTCTACACATCCACATAACGACAGCAACCGGTCACTCACCTCCAGTTGTGCGTCCGGACACCACCTCCAAGATCACATCACTGTCGTCCAGAGGGTCCACCGGAACTAACAACTTCACCATCTGAGAAAAAAGGTTAACACATTAATCTCTTTCTACTTACACAGAGATGTCCCGCTCTGGTCCCGCTTCTCTGGTATCTCTCTGGTATCTCTCTGGTATCTCTCTGGTATCTCTCTGGTATCTCTCTGGTATCTCTCTGGTATCTCTCTGGTATCTCTCTGGTATCTCTCTGGTATCTCTCTGGTATCTCTCTGGTATCTCTCTGGTATCTCTCTGGTATCTCTCTGGTGTCTCTCTGGTGTCTCTCTGGTGTATCTCTGGTGTATCTCTGGTGTATCTCTGGTGTATCTCTGGTGTATCTCTGGTGTATCTCTGGTGTATCTCTGGTGTCTCTCTGGTGTCTCTCTGGTGTCTCTCTGGTGTCTCTCTGGTGTCTCTCTGGTGTCTCTCTGGTGTCTCTCTGGTGTATCTCTGGTGTATCTCTGGTGTATCCCTGGTGTATCCCTGGTGTATCCCTGGTGTATCTCTGGTGTATCTCTGGTGTATCTCTGGTGTATCCCTGGTGTATCTCTGGTGTATCTCTGGTGTATCTCTGGTGTATCTCTGGTGTATCCCTGGTGTATCCCTGGTGTATCCCTGGTGTATCCCTGGTGTATCTCTGGTGTATCTCTGGTGTATCTCTGGTGTATCTCTGGTGTATCTCTGGTGTATCTCTGGTGTATCTCTGGTGTATCTCTGGTGTATCCCTGGTGTATCTCTGGTGTATCTCTGGTGTATCTCTGGTGTATCTCTGGTGTATCTCTGGTGTATCTCTGGTGTATCTCTGGTGTATCTCTGGTGTATCTCTGGTGTATCTCTGGTGTATCTCTGGTGTATCTCTGGTGTATCTCTGGTATTTCTCTGATCTCTGGTGTGCTCCTGCTTGGTTGGAATGAAAACCTGCAGTTTCAAACCCCAGTTCTACTACATGCAACACCAATGAACATATTTTTCGGATCAGAGTTCAGAGCGGATGTTAAATCAGTGAACATCATGGACTCACTTGTTTGGTCGTGTGGGTGATCTGAGACAGCTGAGCCTCTTCTTCCTTCAGCAGCTCGCTCATCTGCTCGTCCTCCTCCTCGGCTCCTGGACAAGTTCAAACAGAAACGTAGAATTAAATAAATAAATACAGTGTAAATAAAGTATTCGGCCCCCTTGAACCTTTCGCCACATTTCAGGCTTCAAACATAAAGATATAAAAATTAAATTTTTTGTCATGAATCAACGACAAGTGGGACACAATCATGAAGTGGAACAAAATGTATTGGATAATTTAAACTTTTTTAACAAATAAAAACCTGAAAAGTGGGGCGTGCAATATTATTCGGCCCCTTTACTTTCAGTGCAGCAAACTCACTCCAGAAGTTCAGTGAGGATCTTTGAATGATCCAATGTTGTCCTAAATGACCGATGATGATAAATAGAATGCACCTGTGTGTGTAATCACGTCTCCGTATAAATGCACCTGCTCTTTGATAGTCTCAGGGTTCTGTTTAAAGCGCAGAGAGAACCATGAAGACAAAGGAACACACCAGGCAGGTCCGAGATACTGTTGTGGAGAAGTTTAAAGCCGGATTTGGATACAAAAAGATTTCCCAAGCTTTAAACATCTCAAGGAGCACTGTGCAAGCAATTATATTGAAATGGAAGGAGTATCAGACCACTGCAAATCTACCAAGACCCGGCCGTCCCTCCAAACTTTCATCTCAAACAAGGAGAAGACTGATCAGAGATGCAGCCAAGAGGCCCATGATCACTCTGGATGAACTGCAGATAACTACAGCTGAGGTGGGAGAGTCTGTCCATAGGACAACAATCATTTGTGCACTGCACAAATCTGGCCTTTATGGAAGAGTGGCAAGAAGAAAGCCATTTCTCAAAGATATCCATAAAAAGTCTTGTTTAAAGTTTGCCACAAGCCACCTGGGAGACACACCAAACATGTGGAAGAAGGTGCTCTGGTCAGATGAGACCAAAATCGAACTTTTTGGCCACAATGCAAAACGATATGTTTGGCCTAAAAGCAACACAGCTCATCACCCTGAACACACCATCCCCACTGTCAAACATGGTGGTGGCAGCATCATGCTTTGGGCCTGCTTTTCTTCAGCAGGGACAGGGAAGATGGCTAAAATTGATGGGAAGATGGATGGAGCCAAATACAGGACAATTCTGGAAGAAAACCTGTTGGAGTCTGCAAAAGACCTGAGACTGGGACGGAGATTTATCTTCCAACAGGACAATGATCCAAAACATAAAGCCAAATCTACAATGGAATGGTTCACAAATAGACGTATCCAGGTGTTAGAATGGCCAAGTCAAAGTCCAGACCTGAATCCAATCGAGAATCTGTGGAAAGAGCTGAAGACTGCTGTTCACAAATGCTCTCCATCCAACCTCACTGAGCTCGAGCTGTTTTGCAAGGAAGAATGGGCAAGAATTCCAGTCTCTCGATGTGCAAAACTGATAGAGACATACCCCAAACTACTTGCAGCTGTAATTGCAGCAAAAGGTGGCGCTACAAAGTATTAGCGCAAGGGGGCCGAATAATATTGCACGCCCCACTTTTCAGTATATTTGTTAAAAAAGTTTAAATGATCCAATAAATTTCGTCCCACTTCACGATTGTGTCCCACTTGTTGTTGATTCTTGACAAAAAATGTAATTTTTATATCTTTATGTTTGAATCCTGAAATGTGGCGAAATGTTGAAAGGTTCAAGGGGACCGAATACTTTCGCGAGGCACTGTAACAGTGGAACATTCCAGACATCACATATGTGTGACCAGAATTTACACGCAGAGATCAAAAATGTATTTAGATCAAGTTTGTGTAAGCCCTCAGTCGTACAGGGATTAGTCAAAGCAAAGGAAGGTTTCTCACCCATCATCTGTACTTCTTAGCAAGTTTTCCCGACGTTTCGTCCTCAAACTAGCGGACTTCTTCAGGGAATGAATTCTCGGACTGTGCGTTGGAGATTTATAACCTATGGGTGTGGTTAGCCACACCCTAATCCTGATACTAACTCATAAACAATCTAAGGTCTGCTTGATGTAGAAGGGAGCAGATCTAACGACCCTGCTGAGGCTAACGACCCTAACTCCTTAGCATGTCACAGACCTATTGTCTGCTGGGATGCTCAAGTGGAGTGCAGGTCTCACCCCTCCTAACTCATTAGCATGTCACTGACCTTGTCCCAAGTTACCACGATGTTGGTAAAGTCGTTTCTGTAGAGTTTGTTTGGTTTCTCCAATATAGTGGTCAGTGCACTCCTCTTCACTACATTTAATTGAATACACCACATTGCTCTGTTTGTGTCTGGGTGTTTTGTCTTTGGGATGCACTAATTTCTGTCTTAACATGTTGAAAGATTTGAAATACACAGGGATTTTGTGTTGCTCCCTTGACTTGACCAACATCGTAGAGAAAACTCTAGTGGGCCACAGTCGGCTGTTCATCTCCACCTCAAGGCCTCCAACCACACGGTGGATGACACAGAGGTTAAAATTCTGGCTCGGGAGAAGAATTGGTTTGAGAGAGGGGTGAAAGAAGCCATTTTTGTGAGGAAACAAAAACCTTCTCTTAACAGAGGAGGAGGGTTAAGATTTGTTTTGCCTCGCATCTATGACGACATCCTAAAAACAACGCCCTAACTTGGGACAAGGTCAGTGACATGCTAATGGGTAAGGAGGGGTGAGACCTGCACTCCACTTGAGCATCCCAGCAGACAATAGGTCTGTGACATGCCAAGGAGTTAGGGTCGTTAGCCTCAGCAGGGTCGTTAGATCTGCTCCCTTCTACATCAAGCAGACCTTAGATTGTTTATGAGTTAGTATCAGGATTAGGGTGTGGCTAACCACACCCATAGGTTATAAATCTCCAACGCGCGGTCCGAGAATTCATTCCCTGAAGAAGTCCGCTAGTTTGAGGACGAAACGTCGGGAAACTTGCTAAGAAGTACAGATGATGGGTGAGAAACCTTCCTTTGCTTTGTATTTAGATCAACTTTTTCAGACATGAAAGTGATCGCGGTCTTTCTTACACATGTTACACATAGTTTTACAAGACTCTGTTGGACCATGGGGAAAATGTTGGGGACAGTGTTGGGGTCACCTTGTAGGAGAGCTAGCACCTCTTCATGGTCTCTGCGTGTCTGCTCAACACGGCTCCAGGCCTTGGCCAGAGGCTGCAGCTCGGCATGTCTGAGGACCATGGCCCTGCGCTCAGACTCGCTCAGGACAAATGTTCGCCTCTGGTCCGGCTTCTGGTCTTGCTTCTGGTCTTGCTTCTGGTCCAACCTCTGGTCCAACCTCTGGTCCAACAGTGTGAACTCCTCCATGAGCTGTTGAACATACGCCTGCACTGAGGGGTGGGTGTGTGAGTGTCCCCTCCATGAGCACCTGTCAGGAGACAGTTCCCATGAAAGCCACTCACAAATGCATCATGTACCAGTGTCAAGAGGAACTCATAACAAAACAGCAATTTACAGCAGCATATTCCTTTTGTTTTTGAAGTAACTAAATACAATTAGCAATAAAGTATATAGTGTAGCCCAATATTTCATCTGCAGTCCAGATTGTAAAACTAAATTTAGTGATGTCACGCATCAACAGTGAACAGATGATTGTGGACTATACGTCAGTATCGTAATATCACACAGTTGTAACTAATAACAGAATCTTACTATAATAAATAACATTTCTCAACACTGAGCTTCTCTACTAATGCAAAGATATAACAAACATGTGCAGACATTACTACCACCTGAGTCTCCTTTGTAAACTTGTACACAGCGCGAACACTCGGAACCAGCGCTGACCGAGCACCGGGCCCAGTCGTCCCAGTCCTCCCGGTCCTCCCGGTCCTCCCAGTCTCACCATGGACCGCATGGATCTCATTCAGAAGTCTGACTGAGGGTCTGTTTTGGTTCGACAGAGGAGAGACCTCCACACGCCGGAAGCCGCTGCAACGCGTGCCCTCGCAAAGGCCTCTGGGTACTGTAGTTTACAGACTCTGGATGAGGTGACGCCACTCGAGCTCTTACCACAGACCGCTCTGTGGTCAGAGGAGTCAGAAAAAATACTTTTGAAAAACTAAACCCAAAATTTACCAATTACAACAACGCTACGTGACTCTGACCGAACAAACAAACAAACCTAACAATTAATACTAAATACAAAATGTCTGTCGAAAATGGTAAGTGATATTTATAGACGTATATAAGCCAAACTTGTTGATTTGAGCTGTTTTGACATGGATATTTGACACACAAAAAGTTTTGTTAGCATTTAGGCTAGCTTAAACTTTTCAGGTAAATGGTAATCTTTGTATTTCATCCTGGACAAAGATTCCAGGTTTATTTCATTGAGCTTGTTATTAAGAGCCACCATCAGGTTAAGGTGAGGGTTTGGGGTGAGATATTATGATTATTTGTCATTAATACTGTGTAAATCATAACTACTATTCTAGAATGTGTAATACGTTTTAGTGATAAAAAATAATATTTTACGAAATTTATTATTTCATGAGAGAAAAGGCTTCTCTGAATGTCTTATTCGTATTTTATTGAGAACTTTATGACTTTGGACTGGACCCTGATTTTATAATAAGACTCAAAAACAGGCTCCACATGTTTCCACCAGCCCTACTCGGCTCTACTCTTCTCTTGTTTTGGCTCCAAGCTGGTACTAAAGTGTTCTAACCATAGTCTAACTGACAGTGATTGGCCTGCTGGTTGCTAGGATACCAGATACTAAAATGTAATGGAAACACGTTAATACAATAATACAATTTATTCTTGTAAAAGCCCTAGGTCACAACAGAAGTCATCTCAGAGGACTTAACAAAACCATTGAAATCACCAACACAGGTCAGAGAATCGACACGTGAAGAATATAAAGCACACACAGAAGAAAATGTCCATACATGTTGTAGAATGCTAAAGTGCAGTACGGTGGCTGAGTGGATAGCACTCTCGCTTCTCAGCAAGAAGGTCCTGGGTTCGAATCCCGGTCGGACCAGGGCCTTTCTGAGTGGAGTTTGCATGTTCTCCCCGTGTCTGCGTAGGTTTCCTCCGGGTACTCCGGTTTCCCCTACCACTAAAAATATGTCCAATAGTTCTGACATGCGCTTCCTGTACTGGCAACCCTGCTCCCATCTCTGTGTGGAGTGAGAGACAAATGCCCAAAATTAACAATTGTAAACCGCTTTGAGACTCAGATCTGCAGTGAAAAGGCGGTATATAAATAAAAACTTACTTACTAAAAAACTTACTTACTTACTTACTAAAGTGTCCTGATCATCACCAATCCTTTCTGTTGGACTGTTAAATAGTTAAGAAGAGGCCCTGTGAGGCATTTTTTGGCTTTTTGGGCTAAGATTTCATCAAATTATTTCTAATCGTTATCTGAAGATTGTGATATATATTGTATCATGAGCTGAATATCATGCATTGTATTGTTGGTTAAATATTGTATATATTGTAATGTATTATTGTGAAATACTGCAAGTGTATCGCTTCACCACACGAGCTGAGTAGAGCCAACCGAGTAGAGTAGAGTACGGCAAAGTAGGGCTGGTGGAAACGGGGCGATGAGGTATTGTGAGCCTGCTGCTGAGGCCTCTTTTCTCAACCACTGTTGTAGAAGAATCCATGCTACAGTTTAGCTCCTGAGGGACTGGTGCAGACCTGCTCTCAGTGTGAATGTGACCTTGTACTGTGCTGAGTGTTGAGACTGCTGCAGACCCATTCCCAAACAGGTCGAGGCTAAACCATAAGTCTCTTCTGTCTGGTTCAGGTTCTGATGATTCTGGGTTTACACTCTCCAAAGTAGTGGAGGACGTGAGTCAGCACAGCTTCGCTCAGACGGAGGCTCTGAAAGAAAAAGAGAAAACTCTGCAATTGCTTGAGGTTTGATTTTAGGTTTAGCTCTATCTCTGGTCTCTCTCTGGACTCTCTGTTCTCTCTGATTTCTCTCTCATCTCTCTGGTCTCTCTGGTCGCTCTCTGATCTCTCTCTGGTCTCTTTCTGGTTTCTCTCTGGTCTCTGGTCTCTCTCTGGTCTCTCTCTTGTCTTTCTCTGGTCTCTCTCTGGTCTCTCTCCGGTTGCTCTAGTCTCTCTCTGTCTCGCTCTGGTCTCGCTGATCTCTCTCTTGTCTCTCTGGCCTCTCTGATCTCTGTTTGGTCTCTCTTTGGTCCCTCTGGTCTCTCTCTGGTCTCTCTGGTCTCTCTCTGGTCTCTCTCTGGTCTCTCTGGTCCCTCTCTGGTCCCTCTCTGGTCTCTCTGGTCTCTCTCTGGTCTCTCTCTGGACTCTCTGTTCTCTCTGATTTCTCTCTCATCTCTCTGGTCTCTCTGGTCTCTCTCTGGTCTCTCTGATCTCTCTCTGGTCTCTCTCTGGTCTCTGGTCTCTCTGGTCTCTCTCTGGTCTCTTTCCCGTCGCTCTAGTCTCTCTCTGATCTCGCTCTGGTCTCGCTGATCTCTCTCTTGTCTCTCTGGCCTCTCTGGTCTTTTTCTGGTCTCTCTCTGGTCTCTCTGATCTCTCTCTGGTCTCTCTCTGGTCTCTCTGATCTCTCTGGTCTCTCTTTGGTCTCTCTCTGGTCTCTCTGGTCTCACTCTAATCTCGCTCTGGTCTCTCTCTTGTCTTTCTCTGGTCTCTCTCTGGTCTCTCTCCGGTCGCTCTAGTCTCTCTCTGATCTCTCTCTTGTCTCTCTGGCCTCTGTGATCTCTCTTTGGTCTCTCTTTGGTCCCTCTGGTCCCTCTCTGGTCTCTCTCTGGTCTCTCTCTGGACTCTCTCTGGACTCTCTGGTCTCTTTGATCTCTCTCTGGTCTCTCAGTCCCTAGATGTTTGATTTCAGATCACAACGCGTGTCGCTGCAAACACCAACCAGGCCAGTCAAATTCATTCACTTCTTTTATTAGAAACAATATCATTAAATTGCCTATTTAAGTCCATCCATCCATTTTCTTCAGTTTTAACAGTTCCCTGTTCGCGGGGGCAGCAGTCTAAGCAGAGACTCCCAGACTTCTTTCTCCACACACACTTCCTCCAGCTCATCCGGAGGAATCTCGGGGCGTTCCCAGACCAGCTGAGAGGCACAGTCTCTCCAGTGTGTCCTGGGTCTGCCCCTGGTCTTCTCTTTTCTGTTATATGCCGAGAACATTCGTCCAGGAGGCATCCTAAACAGATACCCGATCCAGCTGGAGATCCAATTGTATCCGCAATCAGATTCAGATTCAGATTCAGATTCATTTTATTTGCCATTTGCAGTAAAAAAAAACACATTACATTAGCAAAAAGTCACCAGTGTGCACAGACAAATACAGACATAAAACAACATTAAAAGTACGGAAATAAAACAAATAAAACTGTAAACAAGTGTCACCGTGAAATTGATCGGCTAAAACAGTTTCAAAACAAGTGCAAATCATTAAAGTGCTCTGTTCACACTGATAACAGCCTGTGGAAAAAAGCTGTTAGCATAACTAGATGTATTGCATCTCAGAGAACGATATCTTCTGCCAGAGGGAAGAAGCTGGAACAAGGCTTTTCCAGGGTGGCCAGAAGAGTCATTGTTAATTCTTAGAGCTCTATTAAGAAGTCTGGATTTATAAAGAGCGGAGCACCTTGTTTAAAGATCTCTTTTCTTTATCTGTGATGTTTCCAAACCACACAGACACAGAACCAACAAGTAAACTCTCAATGGTGCAGCGATAAAAGTTAAGCAGAATCTTAGTTAGAGTTAGTGGTAAATTCTCTAAGTTTCCGCAGGAAGTAGAGACGCTGACGAGCTTTCTTAACGACTCGGTCAGTGTTTTTAACCCATTTCAGGTCGTTAGACAGAGTTAAACCCAGAAACTTGCACTCCTCTACGATGCACCTGGGAGTTGTCGATTACGACAGGCAAATGAGAACTATTGCGACTGAAGTTGTAGACCAGTTCACATGTTTTCGATGCGTTCAACTGGAGGTTGTTAGTTTTACTCCACGCTGTCTTTGTTTAATTTTGAATGCGCTGGAAACGGCTGCAAGTCCTAGGTAGCTCTGAAACAGTTGTTGTTTAGTGCTTTAAAAAATATTTGTATTGTTTTATCTACCTGATAGGACAGTGCTCATGGTTTTACACGGGCCCGGACCATAGCAGAGAGGATTCATGGTCCGAACCAAGTGGATCAGATGAAAATCCATTAGAAGAATGCTAACTTTTTTGAAAAATGCTAACCAAGCGGCTACTCCACCTTGGGACCTGTCCTGCTCCACTCAGAGTCCACTCCATCTTTGCTGCTGTGACTTGAAGGCCTGTGGCTGATTAATACTATTATTAGCTTTTTAGAATGATCAATTTTATTTTTGCTGCTACTGGACACCTGAATTTCTCCTACGGGGGTCAATAAAGTATCTATCTATCTACAGTATCTATCTAATATTGTGTCATTGGAATGTTGTTTAAGTTATCTTTTTAACCAGTATTATAACTGTATTGTAATTCACTGTTGGCTCCAAGAAGTCCAACCAAAGAGGGATGTATGTTTTTCCACTTTCCAGAGGAAGCGGGCTTTTGAACATCCTAATAAGGAAGGTCTTGTCGTTGTTCTTTGTTGTGTTGCTTATTCCTGTCCTATCTGCATTTGAAGGTGTGTCTTGTACTATCAAAAGAAGTTTTACAGTCTTGCCTGGGGTAGATCTGGTCTTACTTATTGTTCCTCTTCAGGCTACTTTAGCGGAGGCTGAGGACAGACGCAGAGAGCTGCAGTTGGAACTGAGGTCTAAAACATGTCAGCTCCTGTCTCTGGAGAGTGATGTGGAGAAGCTGGACCATCAGACCCAGACCCTGCTCCACCGCAACGCCACCATCACCCAGGAGAACGCCCGCCTTCAGAGCCAGATCAAAGAGGAGCAGGAGAAGGCCTCCAGCGCCCGAGCCCGGTATCACGCCTACAGGACCAAGATGGAGGAGCACCGAGCGGCCGTGGTGGAGGCCCTCAGTGAGACAGAGGCCAACAAGGAGCTGGAGGAGACAAGGGCACGAGTCAAGATGCTAGAGCAGGAGAAAGAAGAGCTCAGGAAAGAGCTGGAAAACCCAGATGGAAATGCAGAGGTGACGCTTTGACTTAATGACTTTATCTAAACGGGAAATTTTAGAATTGGGTTGGAGAAAGTTAGGTTAACTTGGGGGAGTCCTGGTCCCAGAGAGAGGGTGGGAGTGGGTTTAGGGGAGTCCTGGCCCCAGAGAGAGGGTGGGAGTGAGGTTGGGGGAGTCCTGGCCCCAGAGAGAGGTTGGTAGTGGGTTTAGGGGAGTCCTGGCCCCAAAGTGAGGGTGGGAGTGGGTTTGAGGGAGTCCTGGTCCCAGAGTTAGTGTGGGAGTGGGTTTGAGGGAGTCCTGGTCCCAGAGAGAGGTTGGTAGTGGGTTTAGGGGAGTCCTGGCCCCAGAGTGACGGTGGGAGTGGGTTTAGGGAGTCCTGGCTCCAAAGAGAGGGTGGGAGTGGGTTTGAAGAAGTTCTGGTCCCAAAATGAGGGTGGGAGTGGGTTTGAGGAGTCCTGGCTCCAAAGAGAGGGTGGGAGTGGGTTTAAGGGAGTCTTAGTCCCAGAGTGAGGGTGGGGTTGGGCTATTACAGCTACACATACAACACACTCAAAACAATGCTATAACAGATGTCTTGTTTGCGACTGAATAAATAAATAGAGATTCAGAAATGTTATACCTAAAATAATGTTATACTTAGTTATTGATCATTTATCCTCATTCCTACTGTTCTGTAACTGGTGATTCAACACTGACATTTCCCCACTTTGGGACCAATATAGAATCTTTTAATCTTAATCTCAACATAATAAACAAGGCTTGTTGTGATTGGCACAACGTTATCCCGCTGACTCTAGTTCGTCTTCAAAAACCATTGGTCAACATAATATTAGTTTTTTTCAACAAATTTAACACAACCAGAAATTCATCTAAATAACAAATAGGCTCTTGTCCAGTGAAATTAGTCTTTTGTGGTGAATCTCTTGCAGAAGGAAATAAGGGATTTGAAGGAGCAGATCATTGCACAGAAAAAGGCCATCGCAGAGAAGAGACTGAGGCTGCGGAAGGAGACCGAGACACACAACCACATGAAGAGAGACATCGAGGTTAGACTGATCTCATTTATGATGTTTACTTTGTGGACGCTAACTCTGTCACTTCTGATGCTCAAGGGTTTACATTTGAATCTTCTGGAAAACAGGTCCTAAGTAACTCTGAAACAGTTGTTGTTTTGTGCTTAATACATTTTATTTTTCTTGCTTTTCTCTACCTGAGATGTTGCTGCAGTACAGTGTTCATGGTTTTGCACTGGTCCAGACCAGAGCAGATAGGATTTATGATCCGAACCAAGTGGATCAGGTGAAAATTCACTGGAGGAATGCTGACTTTTTGAAAAATGCAAATGAAGTATTTAGTATTTTACTTTGGACTAGAACAGAGAAAATGGTCCAAATCAAGCGACTGCTCCACCTCTGCTGCTGTGACCTGAGGCTGTTGCTGATAATTACTATTGATAGCTGTTTTGCTAAAAGATTAACCCTAAAACCCTTTTCTGACTTAATATAGGTGACTGTCATGTTACACGAGCGGTTTTATGATGTTGCTGGAGTTTACATGTTACAGGGACTGGTGTAAATTGTAAATAGTGAGATTTTAATAGTTTTATTCTTGTCATCTTTAGTTCTTTTTTGGGGACTTTATTGTGTTTTTGTTCCAGATTCAGAACAAACGTTATGAAGCCATCGTGAAGCGCCTTCGCTGCCAGCTGAACAAAGCACAAGCCGCTCACAGGTACATCCTTCAGTCCACAGGTACATCAGTCCAGTCCACAGGTACATCCACAGCCCCAGTCCAGTCCACAGGTACATCCACAGACCCAGTCCAGTCCACAGGTACATCCACAGCCCCAGTCCAGTCCACAGGTACATCCACAGACCCAGTCCAGTCCACAGGTACATCCACAGACCCAGTCCAGTCCACAGGTACATCCACAGCCCCAGTCCAGTCCACAGGTACATCCACAGCTCGACGTCCTCTGTAAATGTCCATGAAAAGTGGAAAACTTTATATATTAAGTATAAGTATATTTTACTAAATCACTGTGTCTCTTTTCTCAGACACATGTCGAGTGAAGTGTCCATCATGGAGAAGCAGATCTCTGAACTGAAGGAGAGACTGCAGAAACCCGGGGCCCCCAGCACCAGGCCCTGACCTGTGTGTGTTCACGTGAGTTCCAGGGCTTGATCTGTGTGTGCACGTGAGTACCAGGCCCTGCCTGATCTGTGTGTGCACGTGAGTACCAGGCCCTGCCTGATCTGTGTGTGCACGTGAGTACCAGGCCCTGCCTGATCTGTGTGTGCACGTGAGTACCAGGCCCTGACCTGTGTGTGCTCGTTAGTACCAGGCCCTGACCTGTGTGTGCACGTGAGAACCAGGCCCTGACCTGTGTGTGCACGTGAGCACCAGGCCCTGACCTGTGTGTGCACGTGAGCACCAGGCCCTGACCTGTGTGTGCACGTGAGCACCAGGCCCTGACCTCTAAGATCATTAGTTCTGGCTTGAAATGGTCAACCATGCTTATAAATTCATTAGTTCAGGGTTGAGGAGATTAGCCATGCTTCTAAGTGCATTAGTACAGGGTTCAGGACGTTAGCCATGGTTCTAGGTTTCGGTTTAGGGTTAGGGTTCAACACTAGCTTTCACTAGTTGTTATTGTTGTATGAGAACATTTATACTGTAATAGTACCAGCAGCAGTGTGTGTGTCCTGTCAGCAGAGGGCAGCAGAGCGGAGCACATGACTGCTGTTCCTGCCTGAATCCTCCTCTCATGAATCATTCATTTTTAGGGAGCCGTGTTATCAAAAATGGATGCTGACTCCCAAATGTCTAAGAACATGAACCACTTTACTTTTCTCCCGGTCTGAATAATATAGTGCACTTTCCTTTATTTTCATATAAAGATGTTTTAGGGTCAGTAGTTTCAGAAGTTTCATCATTCCATCACTATTGTTTATGTTGTGGTTCCTATGGTAACTAGCTAAGACATCTCAAATCCGAACCCAACAAACCTGAGTAGGGAAATGTGTCCTCTGCATTTGACCCATCCTGAATGCCTTGAGGGCCTCTGCCAGGAGCAGTGGTTGCCGTAGTAACACAGGGTCATCTCCAGGTGTTGTTGCTCTTCAGGACCAGAGCTGGAGGATTTCACATACTCTACATGTTTTTAGTGGTATTGGGGAGACCGGCGCACCCATGGAAACTTACGCAGACACGGGGAGAATTTACCAACTTCGATTGGGATTTGACCCTTTGCTGAAAAGCGAGATTAAAATAATATAATGTGATTTAATAATTTTGTAACAAAATGGTGTTGTCTTATTGAAGCCAGGCAGTTGTAAAGTGGGTTAGGACTATAGAGTGTTTATAGATGGACAATGATAACCTGCTAGCTGAATGAAGCCTAATAGGGAAGTGCTCGTGGACAAAGTTTCCCCTTTTGACATACAAGTAAAAGTAAAATCCTCTAGCTCATTAAGCGTTTCTGTCATCTTCGTCTTTTGGGTAAACACACAAACTCTGTGATCCTGGTATTTATATGTGATATTGTCTTTGTAAATCCACATATGAGCCATTTAAGGATTGACCAATCAGACGCCCCCCTTCATTTGCAGGGGAAACTCGACCTTGCCTTAGCAGGCGTCTTAGCAACACGTCTGCCCCTGTTAAGGCACAAAGCTAACGTTGTCGCAACAAATGCCCATATAAGGAAAATGGCTCCAGCTAGCTTATGTTTAAATCGCCATCAACACTATGGTGATGTCACACTCAGTCAGGCCATAGTTTTGTTTAAAATGGGGGAAAACGGCGATGTGAGGGTGTATACCTGTTTCTGCAAAGTTTGAATGTGTAGCCCCGCCCCCAACTCGCTCATAGGCTTCTCATTTCTCCTATGCTCTCATCCCACGGAGCCATCTAGTTTTAGTTGCGATCTGATACATATGCCAACATTAGCATGAGTGCAACTTGTAAGCCGTACAACAATCACTGATGAAATGGTACAAAAGCAACGCACTGCTAACAAAATATATAACTGAAAGATTACCGCTAGTTCCGCGTCTGAATGTAGTCCAAGCATAGATAGTCCGAGCATAGATAGTCCGAGCGTAGATAGTCTGAGGCGGTCCGCTACCGCAGGTCTCTCCCATAGACAAGTCGCTCCAAAGGATACGATGTAAGTTAATGCTATGTTCACCCGGGCTTGATTTCTTCTTTGATCATATGTTCGCTTTAGTTCCCTCTTATCTCCCAATAAGAGCCAATTATGCTAACATGCTACTGTGTTTAGCAGCGCTGTAGAGGCTAGAGGACGCCGCCTGTTCGTAACAGCGCCGCTCCTTATTCTGTGATTGGAGGAGAGCGAGCGTCACGCCAAGTCTCTACTCAGCACTTTTTACAGCCTGAATTCATACACAGCTGAATCAATGAGCTCAAGTTTTCATTTAAATTTCAGATTATAATACAACTTGTTTGTAGTAATGAGCATTTTTATGAACTCATTAAAAAAAATATCGGGTATAGCTTCCTCAAAGACCTTATGCCGGGTTTGGTTTTTTTTGTCTGATACCCCCAAATCGAAATAACCCCATAGCAACGCCCTTAGAAACGAAAAAACTTCACAGCCCTTGGTGACGTCAGAGTGGGTACGTTTCAACGCTGTAAGTTGTTTACAATTTGGTATTCGTTCTTTTTTCGCGGATATTCAAGATGACAAGGCTGTGTACAGCGAGTGTGAGATAAGTACTAGATAGTAACACATCTTTGTCACAGAGATAGTCCAGTGGTTGTTTCGATGGATTGCCAATCTAGATACTTGGGTTCAAATCCCACCGCAGACACTTTTTCACTCTCAAAACGGCAATTTATGTGTAGTGAGCAATTGTCACCTGTAGAGTGCAGTATTGTGTTGGGCATCAGTGGAGAGAAGAGAGAAAAGGCAGTCCTGTGGCATAGATCCATGGTTTTCAATGCATGGGCGTTACCCGCTATGACGTCACACACAGGTTAGAGCATAGACAACTTAAATTCATGAAAAACACGTTCTTTTTATAAAATATAGGATTTTTTTTTGCCGGAATCTCTTTCAGATTGACATTGTCATGCAATTTTGATATCCACAATTTTTTTTTTTTAAACCCGGCATAAGGTCTTTAAGGTATTCCAATATTCTTAGAGGATAGAGTGAGATGTTCCTTCGTGTTCGTGCCCCGATGCCCAGTGAGAGACTTTGGGAACACCGTGTCCCGGCTCCCGCTTCACTGGCTTTTCAGACGAGTCCGGATGAGACACTAACTTCACCGCTAACGAGGCCGCTCCCCGATGCAGCTTATGAACCAGTTGTTATGGGTACACACAGCAGATACACATTTATTATTATTATTATCATTATTAAATTCATGACAGTGCCTAATATTGGGGTCTATACTGTTTGCCTGAGGGGTATAGAGCTGTGAATTTGGGAAGTGTGTGATCGAAACTACCTGAACCAGAAGGAAATAGTTTACGGCTTCTTATAGATACAGTAAATAGATTCTTATACTGTACTTTGGGAGAGAGATAGAGATAGACCACAGAAAGAGAGGCCAGAGAGAGAGAGACAAGAGAGACCAGTGACCAGTTTTTTAAGTAAGTAAGTAAGTAAGTAAGCTTTATTTATATACCGCCTTTCACAGACCAGAGTCACAAAGCGGTTTACAATTGTTATTTTTTGAGCACTTGTCCTCTCACTCCACACAGAGATGGGAGCGGGGTACACACAGCAGATACAGATTTATTATTATTATTATTATTATTATGACCGTGCCTTTTACTGGGGTCTGTACTGAAGTGTGTTTGATCGAAACTTCTACCTGTATTCAACCAGAAGGAAATAGTTTACAGCTTCTTATATATAGTTAGATTTGTATTCTTTGCAGACCCACAGAATGTCTAGCCCAGGCATGTCCAAACTCAGGCCCGTGGGTCAATTGCGTTGTATATGGCCCTGTGTTTTGCTAACCTTAGGTGAAATCATAAACGTTCACAGTGTTATCCAGCCAGTTCTTGTGGTAAAGCTGAGAACCTCTAGAATTCAGTTTTTGACTTTATGTGTATAATTGTTTTTAATGGTGTCTCAAAATTCCACCATTTGCGCTTATGTAGCAGGTAAGAAAGTACACATTTTGCTAACTTTACTGCTAATTTCCGGCTAATTTTTCGCTAAGTATAGCTCAAATCCTATTTTTGATCTCTTACAAACGGCAAATATTGGCCAGTTTTGTTGACCTGACCCGGTTCCCCTGATCGGCTCTGGCTGGACATCCGAGAGGCCTCATGTGAAATACTGGACCAGCAAATCTTTATGAGCGTCTATTTTAGGATTTGTGTCTCTGAAATGTGTGTGCACAGGTGAATGCGTGTCAGAGAAACGAAACACACTTAAAAAACTTAAAATGTAAATGTAATGGACCAAGACTCATCAGTTCTGCCGTTTTGAACAAGAAATGAATGGGCCTGTTTTATAGTAAGACACGCCCACACTTCCCTCTCCAGTATATTCAGTGGAGGGTCTTCCCCCAGGGCCTCATCCCGGTGGGAGGCCTCATCTCACCTCAACCTTAGCGACTCTATTCCGAGCTCCTTACTGATATTTGAGCTCTCTGTCCCAAAGGAGATAACTGAAGGAGACTCATGTGGGCCGCTTGTGTCCTCCATCTTGTCTTTTTGGTCCTTGTCCAAAGCTTATGAGCTTAGGTGAGGGAGGGAATGCAGATTGAGCAGTAAATCAGTCAAAGCTTTGACTGCAGACGCTGCTCCCTCTTCACCACAACAGTCTGATACAGCAGCTGCATAAGTCAATCTCAGCTCCATCCTTCCCTAACAATAGGCACTGGCACTGGTCCCCTGGGTTTGGGGTAGTCCGCTGCTGCCGGGATTTGGAAGTCAGAAAAAACTCTACATGTTGAATCAACTCGATCGATTGGAAATTATTTTGTTTCCGGATGTTCACTGGTTGTTTTTCGTTGCAAAGTTTTGTTTTGACATTGACTGTTTGTCTGAGACAGCTGATTCCTGTCAAAACTTCCCTCTTTTCGACTGGGGCTTTCAGGAGAACAAAACTAGCTTGAAACAATCTTATTTTTGCTGATGAACGTAGACAGTCCAGTCTTTCAGAA